ATATGTCGTTTTTGGTCAACTACTAGTACTAGTACTTGTCTTTAGTTTATTAAATTTAAAAAAAAAAATTGTTATTTCCAGTTCCTCACTCACAGTGTCCACTAACAGTAACACTGAATTATTTTGAGTTATTCTGATGAGTCAGGTAAACAGTTGATCTCAAATTTTATTCTCAAGGTCATTTTAAATAGGCTTACCAGTTGCCCTTGTTTTTAATCAGGATTGTCCCTGTTTAGATAGCAATAATAGTAATAATAGGATAGTATAGTAGTCCAACTACCCAGGGCCAATAAGTTTGAATCTTACCCAGGTTTGAATTAATTAGGACTATGCCTAATTACGATGGCTGCGGCTATTAGGACCAGGGTACAAGAGTGAGAGGTTGGGTTTATTAAAAAATATATAAAATATTGTAGGGTTTGTAAGACAAAATGCAAATGAGAGATAATTGAATGGACTATATGTTTGTAAACTTACTACTTCAGTTTAACTAAAGTGTCTAAAGTAAACTAAAACAAATGACATCCGAATAGCATTTAGTCTAAAGGCACCCGGGTACGCATAGCCGCTATTGTCAGGTCTGACAAAGTAAAGATTACCTCCTACACTTTTATTTCAGAACTTGTTGTTTATCAGATAGCCATTAAATGTAATAAAGCTAGCTAGAAGCTTTAGACCAGTGGTTCTCAACCTTTTTTATACCGCAACCCTTTAATACAGTTCCTCATGTTGTGGTGACCCCAACGATAAATTAATTTAATTGCTACTGCTTTAAACTTAACCATCATAAGGGGATTTCAATTACATTATCATCTATAAAAAATTTTCAGAGCTTTGACTTTGGAGAAAAATTAGTAAAAAGTAGACCTATAATAAAACTATAGTATGCGAGAAATACAAAGTACTGGTACATGTGATTGTCTTAAATATTAAATTACAAATAAATCATCTAGTTGTAGTTAATTTTATTTTTAAAGGGTACCAGGTAGGGCTAGTCTTTTTCTCACAACTAAACCCACTTGATGTGACTCTTGTTGGCATTGTTGGGACATTTTGTGAAACTCCTATTCCTGATTTCATCCTTTAAATGTCCTATTTTCAAACCCTTAGAATTATAATAAGCCTAATTCATTAATTAAATCAATGTAACATAAAAAAATCAATAAACATAGAAGTTAATAACCAATAAAAGAACTGGAAAAAAAATTCGTATAATTAATTAATTTAGATCTCGCTAATAACAGGCTTCTATTGTTGACTTATAAATGAACCAGCGTTACACTCACAGATTAGAATTAGAATTTAATGATTCAATCATTGTTTTGCAAAAAAATGAATTTAACTTAAATTATTGCTGTGTAGACTTGTTAGTGACAACTATTTATTTACATATTTGAAGTCATTTCAATAACAGTACTACTATTTTCATCATGCACACAGAGGTATTCATGGGTACGACCCCACAAGACAATGTTATTCAAGGACTTTTAAGGATGATTTAAGACTTATTTGGGGTCAAAGTGGTGTTTTAAATGAACTGATACCCTCTGGATTACTGGGGATTGTTGAGGAGGGTTATGAAATGATTCCCCTGAAATTGCATACAAGGCAATAATAACCAGTGGTATTTTAAGCAGATTCCTCAGTCAGTGAGGTGTAAAAAATGTAATGGTTAAAGAAAATACTTGGGTGTTGAGGTGGTTGTGTGATTGAGTCCAACAGACATCAAGTTCGCTTTGAAAAAATTCTTGATTGAATGTTTTATCAATGTTAATGTTTTTAAACACAATTAAAAGAAAGGTTTATTCTTAATAATAGGATAATAAACTTTTCTGCATGCCGTTTTTTTCTCTTACAAATTAAATTATAGAGGGATTTCAGTGGATAAAAAAACAACTTTTCATTTCTATACTGTAATACCATACATTTATATAAACACCTGTTAGGCCTCATGACCAGTATTATGTTTCAAGCTATTGCATAAAATATTTACATTGCACTAATGTATCACAAGCATTGAATAGCGTCCTTTATTTTGCTTAGCTAATTTAACAGACACACATACAATATTATAGAAAATCTCAGTGAAAAGTACAATGATACAATGTCCAGTGAAGGATATAAAGCTTTACTGTAAAATAAGCATAATTTTTTGTCATTTATCTTTGCTTCAACTTATTTGATTCAAGGAATGTTAAAAATTGTAAATAATTAATTATTTATGATCAATTCTTTCAGAAATCATCGGCAGAAAAGTTTAAAATGTGAAAGATCCTATATTAGTAACAATAAAATCTTTCTCTCACCCAGCTTTATAAAATTTCTTTTGCTGTATAAACAAATTTGGCCTCAAATGATTCTGTTCTGAAGACAAAAAAGTTGTGTTGTGCCTTACAAAGAAGTGTTATCTGTTACCGGCATCTGATTTGTATTTTTGAACATGACTATGATGTTTCATAGAGTAGGTAAAAGTTGCTAATAATGTCTGTTTTTATCTGGGGTTGTTCCTTTGGTTTAAACCTAAAATTCTTGTAAATCACTCTGACAGAAATATTGTTACAGTTTTGCCAGTGACGAAGAATTGCAACTATGTATTTAATTATTTATTTCTTTAAAAAGCTAAATAAAAACCAAATTATTATATTATTTCAAGTTAGCTCAGTTAATCACTTGATACTATTATTTTACTAGTAACATTAAAGGATATGAATAATTTCAATGTCAAATTTTGATTTTAATTGCAGATGTAAAGTATAATCCCTTTCTACACATAAGAACAAATCAACTCTCCAGTCATGATGGCCGTGAGAAAGGAACAGAACCAAGGCATTCATCCTTGCTCTTTTGAAAAGGCAAATGTCAATGATAATGAGGATGAGGATGAAGATGATGAAGATAACCACTTCATTATTTCCCTGGAGGACAATGGGGAGGAGGATGGACTCTTATGCAGTCCTGAAGATATCTCCTTTAGTACATCAGATAAGCAGACCTTAGGTGTCTCACCTGATGTGAATAAACAATTGGGAGAAGAACGCACAACTTCCAGATATACAATTCATTCTGACCTAGGTGCAAATGGACACAACAATTTTGATAAATATAATCGACAAATATTTACATTTGCCACATCCATTGCACCTAAAGACCAAATAACATTGAATAATTCAGAGTTAGACAAATGTTCAAGCTCACATTTGTCTGCTACCTGTGTTGAACCAGAGTCTTCCAGTATTCCAACCTCAAGTTCCAACAACAACAGCTCTAGACCAAGAAAATCTATTCAGCTAGTTAACCCTCCTCCGCCTGCACTCAGTTGTATAGCAAATTACACAGCAGGGAAGCCAAATGACAGAACAAGCGAAAGTGCACAAGTTAAAGAAGGGGAAAGTCATAAAGCTAATAAAAAAAGTGATTTCAACTTATGTGCCTCAGATCCCTTGAATTCACAGAGTGTTGAGAATTCTAAACTAGATGGACTCACCCCAAAAAAGAGTTTAGTTTCTAAGAATTTCAGTTCCAGTGATAAGGGTTTAGAGACTATTAAATTAGGTGCAGAATCAGGTGGTATTTGGTCAGAGGCCATTTTTCTCTCCAGAACACAAAATGGGCCACATGACGTCTACCCTTTCAGTGTTAGCAATATTAACACAAGTGAATGTGGGGATGAAATAATAGGCCCACAGAAGCCATCAAACTTAGACACCGCTATTAATGTTCAGAAAGTCGATTCATCGGGACCAAGTATGATCTTTCAAAATTGTTCATCAATTTATTCCCTACCTGCTTTGAGTTCCTTTAAACCATTGGATTCATCATCTTATTCATCAGCAACCTTGTCATCTCAACCAGCAAGTTGTGTTCCAAGACTATCTGGGCCTTACCCTAGAATTGACAAAAATCAAGGACAGCTTTCAGGACCTATTAGCAGTTCTGGAGATGTGCCAGAAAGTAGTTTACCAGAAGCAACTGCTGATAGCAACAAACATGCTATTGCTGATGATAGTGCAGATTGTACATGTATTATGTGTTACAAAAGTAGTTGTCCAAACACACCAGACCCCAAAAGTTTTGTCATCGATCTTGAAAAAAGAGATGGGGTTTTTGATGCGAAAGTCGGAATAAATAATAAAAGAAAAAGATCCTCAGTTCTTCAGAAAGCTAGAAAAAGAAAAGAAGCACAGAAATTTATTGACATTTATGTTCTTCCGCGGGAAACTAATGCTAATAAGCAAGTGCAGCTTAAGATAAATGGATCAGGAAATACTGATTGGCAGAGTAAAGTTCTAGGAAATAATCTTGCGAGAGAATCACCAAATTTGTTACCGTCACCCATAATTAGGCCATGTACAAACAATGCTAGTCCTGCACTACCATTGAACACAATATGTACCAAATCATCATTGGTCCTTACAAGAACATTGCCAAGCTCCCAGATGACAACAGACGCAATGGCCCAAGTGTCTGCAAGCTTTCCCAGATCACTTAATGCTCAAAACATACCAGAAGGTAAACAATTAAAGTTGATTCAGTCAGTTAACAGGCCCATTGCCCCTAAGGTGTTTATATCCCTTGCTGAAGTTCTAGGAAAGGATGAGACCTCATGTGCAGCTGATCCCTCATGTTCAGTTGCAACACAACATATTGGCACGTCCATCACTAGTAGCGATAAGTCTATTCCATCAAAGGAAAAAACATTTGTCTCAACTTCATTGGCTACCCTTAGGTCACTAAACTTCAAGCATTTACACGAGGAGGCTGTCCATAACACAAGTAAGGAGGAAGACAGCAAGTGTATAACTTCCACTACTGAGCAGCCCAGCCAGTTGTCTGCATCTCGGCCTGAAGCTGATGCATCTGTGAAAGTAAACCCTACCATGGTTTCAGACACAGAAGCGTCAAAAGGCTCAGATAAAGCAGAGGGCCCACCAGTCATAGTTTTGAAAGATCGTGCACATCTCTTAATACTTAATAATATATTGAAAAAGCGTCAGTTGGAAATGTGTTCGACTGAGAATATCTCATCGCATTTGCAAGACCCCAAAGCCCTTAAGGCCCCTGTGTCCAATAAAAAAATAAATAGCCCAAAAATAACAGTGTTAACAGAACCTCCTAGAGAACCCATTTATGCAAAGTCCCTTCTGAGTCCTAGAGCTTCAACTTCAATAGTATCTACAAATTTTACCATGCATTATCATCATGCTGCATCATCAACCACGAAAACCTCATTGCAAAGTTCAGCACCTTCCATCTCTGCTGATGCAACAGTCCCACATGTCAGCCTACCAACAAAGTGCACATTCATTTCTTCTTTTCAGCGACAGTCAGGCATAGGAAATAAAAATTTAGTCTACAGTCTGCTAAAAGATAATTTCCAAAAAGCAGGTCCGACCAACTCCAGTCAAATGGTAGATCTGTCAAATAAACTGCCACCTGAGAAGAAAGCCAGCCCCCCGGATTATGATCTTAAAGTCATGAGTTCCAATTTAAAGGATGAAAACTGTGGCACTCCGAGCTATGAAAATGAAAGCTTTGGAAGTAGCTGCAATACTCCCACTCCTCATCCACCTGAAGAACGATTGCCGAAATCCTACATTGAAGATTGGGTGAATCAGGCTAAAACCTACACCTGTGAGACTCTGCAACAAGAGCCCAGAACTCAAGGCAGTGACTTAAACAGTGTTAAGTCGAAACCTGTTTATGAGGAGGTCGCATCTATTCACAACTACACCAGGAGGGCCAGCTCTGTTGAGGGGCAATCAAATTTAACTACAGAGGTGAATCATGATGACGGCACTAGAACAACACTAATACTACCAGTGGCTGCAAAACTAAAGCTACCACCACAGACACCTGCAAATCTTGGTCTGAGTTTGACACCAGGAAATGTTTCAGATGAGGATTTACTAAGCCATACAATGCCATCTGCTGGTACCGGTATACAAAAGCCAGCTAAGCTATATTCCTTAATAAATCGTGCAGATGAATCAAGCTCCCTTACACAATCTTCCCCTGTTGGGGAGCGTACTGATCCAGCAATGGCTAACAATTTACTTTCACCATCTGATTCAGTTGACTGTGTGAAGGACTCTGATAATTTATCACCAACAAAAGTAGCAAAGTCCAATCCATTCAACAGATGCCTGACTGGTGGTAGAAGCAGATTGATCAGCCAGTCTAGGAAAAGGAATACCGTTTTTAAATCATCTCTCGAACCCAGAAGGACAACATCTTCAACTGTTGTTCCAAGTTCCAATGGAATCAAGCTGAAAATTCGATTTGATGCCTTTCACAAAAAGACACAAAAGACATTGGATCCACTAATTGGTAAGATAGTTGAATCAGCCTCAGATACTTCTGTCTTAGAGAATGAACATTTGAATAAAGACAATCAGACAACTATTAAAGACAGTGAAATAATGTCAAGTGCTCCTAAACCAACCCTCCCAGAATCTGTCGGAAATGAAAGAGTTGAAACAGCTGAAGAAATGTTTCAGCGATTTCAAAAGCAAGCCATGCAGGAGGTTTTTAAAGCACAGTTGGGTGTTGGAAACTTGAGTAGAAACCTTCGTCCCGCTAGAGCAAGTCTCGCCTTTTTGGACAAGCCCTCATGGCGATCAAGGCTGGAGTATTCTTCAAAGAAAAAGAAGAGAGAGGAAGATAAGACTTCCAATCCAATTTCTAAAACAGATGATGCCAGCAGCACAATATCGGCCTTCAGTAAAGATTCGGGAGACAAAAGGTTATTGGGAGGAAATAAGAAAAGGCACTCATCTGAAGACGGGTCGGTATCGGTCAAACAGGCTAGACTGTCCATTAAGGATTATCCCAAACTTAAAGAAGACAATAGTATAACAAGCAAGAAAAAGGTTGTGTGCTCCAACATCTTAGCTGGTCACAAGGTTTTTGTTAAGTTTAACACTTATGAGAACATTCATACTGGCCGCAGTTTCTTGGTCCCTTTTTTTAACATCGGTGGCACTAGGACACAGTTTGATGTGGAAGACATGGAGTACATTAGCAAGGCTGTGGTAGACTATGAGAAAGAAGAGAAGTCTTGTGCCAGGCATCTACTGTTTCATGCCCGTGAAGGAAACAAAGCCTCGTTTCTCAGGAAAGAGAACTACCACCACTCTAGTAAAATCACAGAGAAGAATTACAAAAAATGCAGCTTTGTTCTCGAAGGGTTTCAGCGGCATGCCTCAAAACAGGCCCTGCCAGTTGTGGAGAGGTGGACTGTTGACAGTGCAGTGGACATTGAAATTGACAGAGCGGAAGTTGACCCGGATGAAGAAGAGCATTTTGCTTCAATGATTGAAAGCAGATGTTCCCAGTCAGACGCAGTCAGTGGTAATGAATTTGTGACACCAGAGGAAGCCATTTCTAAATCCAAGGATAATGTCGCTAGTGGCATAGAAATTGATATTGCTGAGGGGGACAGCAATGCTGAAGAAGAGTTTGCATTACAAATGGCGAGCAAAGCCACCTGCAATGTTGAGACTGATAACGTTACTCATATTCCACTGGGAAGCCAATTGGAGCCTTTGAGCTCAAGTGATGGTGTTTCACCATCAAGCCATCCACATATTTTGAAAAGAAATAGGCTGGAAGTTTTTAATTCAAGTAACGGTTTTTCAAAGTCAAGCTATCCACTTATATTGAAAAGAAATGTGCCGCCAATTCATAATGTCCTGAAAGATTTAGTAAGTAGCACACATCAAGACAGTCGAGGATTACCACGCTCTAATTCATACACAGTGGAAGCTACATCTACCAGCAGTAAGGAACATGAACCTATCAGACCAGATTTGTCAGGTAACATGTTATCTCCTAAAGAAGACAGGGGCATTAAGGGAGTGCAGCAAGAAGCCAACTGTTCTTTTACAGTCAACCAAAACTCAGTAGTGGTTAAAACAGAAGTGCCTGACACAGGCTATGGAGACATGTCCAGCGTTGAGCCGCCGCACACATCCTCCGTGTCTATAGTCATACCTGCTGCTCCTTGTGTTCCTCTAGTGAAAGATGAGCCCATTGATGAATATTTTGATACACTTTCTACATTGGTCACCAGGAGACAGGTTGTACAAGATGCTGCAAGCATGCAATCCACTAATGATGTGGTCAGCTCTGAGGCCCTGTCAAATTTGTTAGAGCCCCGAGAATCAAATGACCCCCTTTCATCTATGACTTTGTCATCAAAAGTCCAGTTGGTCAGTAGTCCGATTTCCACTGAGCAGGTAATTTCACAATCATTGAACATTCCATTGGATAATGTCAACAAAATAACTATGCTTGAACCCACAGCTGCCGTTTCTCCTAATGTGCCTTACATTTTTTCAAAATCAGATAACAATCTCAGGGGCAAGACAAATGCAACTATTGACATCAGTGTGAAGTCTATTACTGAAAATTGCACAGTTGTGAATGATACCGAGACTAACCTAAATAATACACCAATGTCTGTTGTGAGCTTTGAAAACCTTGAGGCGTTGGTGGTCATAGACAGTGGTGAAAGAGCAGATCAACTTGAAAACATCACTATAAGGAAAATTTTCAATGAGACAGTGTCACCAGTGGCCACAGAATCTACTGTAACGGCAGATGAAATGGGAAACCCAGAATCTCCACTGCCGTCCTCCTCAATATCAGAATCCAGTGACATTTCATCTTATAGTGACGTTGAAGACCCAGTTGCAGATGAACTCAGCCAGATAAAGACAATGTCACACGGCCAATGTCCTTCTCCTGATAAACAGAATCCCGTACAGAGTAAAATCACCAGTCTCGTGGAATCTCTACGGCAGCGATTAACGCAGCAAACACCAAGCCTCCCCTCGTGGCTAAGTACTGATAAAGTACCAAGAGTCAGATCAAAAATCAAATTGAAATCTAAAGCTAAAAGCAGAAAGATTACTCTGGATTCCAATGAAAATATAGATGTAGCAAAAGATCCCCTTTCAATTGAACCACCATCTGTTCAATCCTTGGTGACCTGTGAAAAGGGTACAACATTTTTACATTCACCTGTTTCTTTCATTCCCACTGTTGAAAGCATTCAGCACCCCGCCACTCATCCTGTTGAAAACATTCAGAACCCAGCTACGAAATCAATGTTATTAGAGTCATCCCCTCCCGTGTCAACTTTACTACCTCACACAGGTCCATCGTTTAATGAATTGTTACCTCCAAATTCATCAACAGAACCACATTTCTCAAAACACCGTCCTGCCAGCACGCCATCTTGTATAGAGCTGCCAAATGCTGTTCCATCTGTAACAAGACCAAGCTCTGTAGAGCACAACATTGAGGATGTGTCAACAGAGACAATGCATTTACCTGTCATCACACCAGGGGAAACAAAAACACAGCCTGATTCTGCATCACCTTCAGTACAAGAGTGTCTGCTTTCAAAGGAAGTAGAGTATTTTTCAAAAGTTCAACCTTTGCCGACCTCTATTTCATATAGTCTTCTGACTTTACCACAGAGTGTTACATTCTCAGTGGTGCACCCTAACCATGCATCCTCAAGGTATACCCTTCCCACAACTACAAACAGCATGGGGCATATTCCTCAGACATCCAGCATTGAGGTTCTTCCCCTACGTCATGGTAAGAATAATGTTGAGGATAAAAATTGTATGAACAACACACAGCAGATCTCACTTCCATGTCCTACAGTTCCTAGCCTGACACTCGATTCCAATAGGTCCACCCCAAGTGATTTTGAAATTGAGGTGGGCACTGAGGACAACTTTGAAGATGATGGTAAGTTCAGACCCATTCACCAACCAAAGTTAAGGAAACTATCCTGGAAAGACTACGCTGCTCCATACAGCAGGTTAGTTCCCACAAGCCTGAGTGATTCCCCGCCAATGTCACCGTGGGGCTTACCATCTGGTGGGCCGAGCACTTCAGCCATATTCCACCAAGATCAACAAAGAGCATTGCTTAATAATTCTGTGTTGACCAATCAGCATGCTAAGAATGTTAGCCAGAATATTTCCAAGAGAAGGAAAAGGGTTAAAAATTTCAGAGGTAAGAAGTCCACTGAAAAGAAAATACCAGTTACACCTTCAGCTCTTGATGAATTTACACCAACTGAGACTGCGGAGTCAGTCACCAGCTACTTGACTAAGAAATTCTCCTCCACACCTGGTTCTAAAATAAAAGGCCCAAGATTATTGCATGACCCTTCCAAAAAGAAAGCCACACCCCAGAAGTCAGAATCTGACACAAGCCTTGCGCCAGCATCTCAGATTCTGCCAGGACCAATTAGCACTGCCGAGTTGTCCAAGACACCAAGTCTCAGTGAAATATTTGGCATTGAGATTAAAAATAACGCCAAGTCTCTAACTTTGGCAACAGACACCAAGAGTGCTAAATCCCAAGTTGAAGCGAAAGGAGGCGCAAATAAAGAAATTTTACAGGTGGCCAAAAAGAGAACCTCACAGGTGGCCAAAAAGAAAACTTCACAGGTTGCCAGGAAGAAAACTTCACAGACGGTGATGGAGAAAAGATCACAGGTGGCAAAAAAGAGGACTTCGGGTAAGAAAAAGGGGCTGGGTGCCACACAAAAGTTCAACAGCAAGCTTGATGTAACAGACATAACAACTGGTCTTAAGACTTCTGATAGACTTGAAACTTCAGCTTCTGATAATACTTTCAAATTGCTGTCGCCTGAATCCCAAGATGTCATCCAACCCACTTCAGATAACTTTGAGTCGAGACAGCCAGCCATCAAGAATGAGTTACTGCAGCCACTTGATGACGCTAAGCCATCCACGAATAGTATTACTAAAACTGGATTTAATGCAGAAACCCCATTAAATTTACCCAAGTGCACAGTTGCTTTACATAAGTTGGAAGACCTAAAGACCAGCTATGAATTAAGAGATGGTGTTTATTTTGTGAAAGGAGCAAAGTCAGAGATTATAAAAGATCACAAATCTAAAGAGAGTAGTGTCCAATCATCTGCTTTGAAACAAGGTGCAAGGAAAATTATAAAAAGAAAGAAAAAGAAGTCTAAAGTAAACAGGAAACAACCTGTCGTTCGTCAGAAAAAAGATATTGTCGATTACTATATGTCAATGCTAGAATCATTGCAAAAGAAAGCTCTACAGCTTGAAGAGGAAAGTAGAAAAGAAAGAGAAGAAAATGCAAAGAAAGAACATGACGAAGGGTTAAGGAAAGAAATGAAAGAAAAGACGCAAAAAGAAAGTGCTGAGAAAACAACACAGAAAGCAGGAGAAACAGATGAAGCTAATCCAAGTGATAAGTCAGGAATTGAAACAGGTGTGACCAGATTTGAAGGCACATTCTATGATCATAATATCAATGAAGATCTGCAAGAAGAGGAACTAAATGAGGAGGCTGATTTGATAAAGCTAACAGATGATGGTCATTTGTTAACTGCAAAGACAGTAGCTGCCAGTGAGCCAAGTAAGGGTTTAAGTTTTAAAGGCATGGGTCTTGTCACAGAAAATGAAGTACCGGCATTCCCGGACTTTGATATCGACAAGTCAGATTTGACATCAGACGTTTTGTTAAAAAATCATTCTGATAATGACAAAGAGAAGCTGAATGTTCTAGCTGACAAAAAGTTACAAGGACCAGAAGATGGGGAGAACGCCGGTCATGAAGAAAGGACAAACTGTGTGCTTCAAGAAATAAATGCAGCTGAGGGTCATAGAGATTATATTTATGGCAAAGAACCACTTGATAAACATACTGTGTTTGAGAAAAAGGATATTGTACTGTGCAGCAGTTTTGATGAAGAAATGCTCAAAATGAGTTCAGGTGAACGGCAGAAGATTGCAGCGGAAGAAGACATGCTGTTAGGGCAGGCTGAAGATTTTGATGGGGATGACATTGGGGTCATACCACAGATTGAGGTGGAGAGGCTTCTGGGATTGGACACCAATGCCACATCTCCTGACACACTTGATGATTTTAACTTGGAACTCAAAGATCAGATTTCTATAATGGAACAACTGAAAGATGGGGATCTGATAGAGCCTGAGATGGATGAGGTGACCAAAAAACAATCAGCGCTGAAAAACGAGGGCAGATTCTTATTCGGAGATTCTCCAGACGTCAAGAGGTCTGGGTCACTGGAAATCAAGAGAGATAACCCTAAAATATCTGATCCTTCTCAAAGCTTTGAATCTGCTCTGAAGTGGGTCAACATACCTGAACCCAGTGAGAGCATCAGCCCCCAAGACACTGTGTCTTTGGTTTCCAGTAAACCAATGGATGCAGAAGTTAAACATTCTGAGGTCCAAAATAATTTTAAGGTTCAGTTAAAATTTCAAACCGCTTCTTTGATAAAATCAATAAAACTTTCTAAAGAAATGAAAAATGTCTTTGGAGAAGCTGCATCAGGAGGAAACTCGCCCACTGAGGATAAAAAGAACACCTATGAGAAGGTATTGTCACAGTCTGAAAACACAGACATGTCTCTAGAAAATCCTTGCTCTGCAGCCAGCTCAGCATCAGAGTTACCTTTAACAAAATCATCCCATCCAAGACCACCCATTCCCAAACTCAAGGTTAGACTGAGAAGAGAGACCATTGAAGCTATTGAAAAAGCCAAAGCTAATTTTGTGTCCAGTAAGAGAGGGGAAAAGAAACAGGCAAATGGTTCTAAGGGGAAATTTGTGAGGAATACAGATAAATCTGAAGTGCAGTTACAAGAAGATATGCAGTTCTACCTGCGATCTTCCAACAGTCAGAGCACTCCTCCTGAGTCACCTGTGAGATCTCAAGGTCAACTATTACATTCCAGCCCAAAAATTAAAAGCGGTTTTCCATCACGTAGAGCTATCCCAAGACTTGATCCAAGTTCAAGAGCCACAAGATCAAAGTGTTTATCTCAGAACAATGCCCCCCTCAAGGTGACTGTGAACTCTAATTTTGAAGCTAAGCAGAGTACGAATAAGACAGTTGAAGGAATTTTCTCTAGTGTACATTTGTTTGATGAGCCATTAGAGTGTAGTGGCTCTGTGATTCCAGCTGCAGCTTGTGATACTAACAAACGCTCAAGTGTAACAACCAAGCCCAGTCAGTTGATTTGTGATACTAACACTGGCTCAAGTGACACAACCAAACCCAGGCTGTCCCTGAAACCTTTAGTCAAACCTTTAACTATAGATATTGTAAAGCTTAAGATGAAATTAAATCCACTTTTTTCTATCAAGGCAAGACAGAACGGCAGCAAATCACAGGAGACAGAGTTAAAGTCACCATCAATGGAACCCAAAAATATAGCTAGCCCAGTAAGCCATCCCTCCACTATGACAAACCTTTCAGAATCAAGTGCTAATCTGAGAGATGCGGTGACTTCCGTCAGTGCATTCGGTTCAGAGACGGTGCCTGGTCATGCAGCATTTTCAAACTCGTCACCTCAAGTTGTACTCAAGAAATTGCCCACTTTGAACACTGCTAAGTTGTGCAATATTTTAAAAAGCTTTCAGAAACAAACAAATAACAAAGAGGGTCAAGAAACTTTCAAAGGTAGTTCTGAATCAACTGCTTTTTCAAATACAAGTGGTGTACTCGGCAGCAGTCTTGTGACTAAAAGAAGCTCACCTCGTGCGCTCAGAGGTCAGAAATCAGCAGTAGGTGCAGCTAGAGGTGGCCGTGCCCTCAGAAGTAGTGCCAAGAATGTTCAGGTCAGTTCCTCCAATTTTGTGGGGGAGGAAAGTAAAAATTTTGTGGAAAATAGTAAACAATTAGACCCTGCTAGTAACCCTCCAGCCAATCCTAAAACAGTTACAGTAAAACAGTTCAAAGAAGCAGATGATAAAGGAGAACGTTCATTTTTTGACTGCTTGACTGATGTGTCCCATCCTAGTGATTGGGTGGATATGTAAGTTTTTTTTCTTTTGTTTTTGATAAATGATTATGTGATCCTGGACACTAAATATAAGTTATGTTGATGTTAATATTTGTAATTACCGGGGCATAAATTAAAGTGAAATGCATTTTAAAATATTGGTGGCTGAATAAATCAGTAAAAATAGACAAAGAACAATTGTGTATATGGTCAGCGCTCATTCTTTTTTTTCCTCTCTCCTCCCGCCTAAGATCTCTTTTCTCCTCCTCTTCCCTCCCTCCCTATAAATGATAACAAATATGGTTATAAAAGTTTAAGAACAATCTTCAGAAACAATTTTTAACAAGTTTGTTGTAGTAATTTTTATTGAGATTTGATTATGTCATGTACAGAACATTGATTGATGAAACTGAGACGAAAGCCTTGACTTTGAGCAATACAACTTTATTTTATCCAATTGTATACCATAAAGCAATTACTTTATTTTTAAATTCATTGCATTTACAGATCCCCAAAAATTTGATGACTTTTATGTGAAATTTGGTTTAGATGAATTTGCTTGATTGATTGAATGCCAATGCTTATTTACATATTATAACACAGTCCGTGCTTTTATTTACCTTCCAGGGTGTTTTTTTCAGTCATCCTACTTTAATCAGTTAACTGTCATTCTTAGTCTTAGTAGAAAAATGTTTATCCTTCCAAACATTGTTTAAAAAGAACAAGAATTAATTTCATTTACTTTGATTTTTATATTTTATGACTGCTATTTAGAAAAATTAGCTTGTGTTTTGCATTACCGGTAGACAGTTGGCAATACTATTTTTTACTAAAGCCAATTTGTTTTTTGAGGTACGGTATATAAGCATAAGTATGCTATGGTACTATTTAATATGCAACATCAGGTAAAGTAGGTATGATTCTAAGTGATCACTGGATCTCAAGTTATTGCTTCATGCAGAGACTTTTTAGTTGGCTTCCTCCTCATTTTCATTTAGACAAATAAAGATACACCGGTATTCTAAATTTGAAAGCCACAAGCTACTAATGGTTAACCATGTGATAAAATTGAAGGACCTAACTTTAAAAAATGGTATATGTCTGTTTGCTTTCATCGTCAGATCATTGTTTTCCTTTTTTTTTGTTTTTTTTTGTTTAAGAATATGCAGTGGCACTTACAAATAATTCCAGAAAGGGATTGAGGCCAAATGTTAAAAATCACTTTTCTTGTTTCACTACCCTGTAAATGTGTATATAGGGTCTTATGATTTGATGCACTTTGAATTGGTGGATGAAGCCAACACCTAAGCGCACTAATGAGGTCTTGCTGTTAGATTTCAAATATCATTCCTAGTTAATATTTCAGGTCAGATTGTACTGAAAAAAATCTAAGGAGAGTGGGCCTTGAATACTAATGGCAGCTTAGATTTATATTAGTTTCTTCCCGTATTGCTTAAGGCTTTTGTTTCAGTGATTTTAAATAAGCTTTATCATTGAATATTATTTTGCACAGTGACACAATCCAAGTAAATTTATTATCCTTTCTACATTATTACCAGGCCGTAGCTTTTGTTCATTGCCACATCACAATCAAAGGATTATTCTGCTCTCTGAACAAACACATTTTTATACATGATTGTGTCAATGTATACTTTCTAATTAGAAAACGACTAAGAAACCACTAAGAACTGACAGATTGCTTTGAGGAATTGCCGTCGGAGGTGTTGAATTATTATATTAGATAGATCTGGTGGATACAAATGTTTAATGTTATTTTTCTTACCCGCCCCATTGCATATACAGTAGGTCCATTCAGTAATGGTACACCTAAGAAACTCAATATTTATTTGGCATACCCATTATGTTTACTCTATATAAACTCTGACACAGATTTCAAAATGGGTCAGTGACCCCCCCCTCACCCTCCCCAAAAAGAGGTTATTGTAAGCATGCCCTAATCTTATAAAAAACATATTCTAAAAATATTACAATCATGATTAAATAATTACCGGTAATTCAAATTCTACTGTTTTCTTTCATGTCTTATTACTAGTATATTTTAAAAGCTACATCCATAGCCAAGTTAATACAATCTTTACAATATACATACGTACAAGTAAATTCATTCAAACCTATGTCTCATAAAAATTGAAGCCAAAAAGTTGACTTGTGATTCCAAGATTCAACATCTAATAATATATATATTATATATATAAGTATAAGTGATATAAAATGTTGATCTCATTTTTGTGCTCATGGTTTATTACTACAAACAGTAGAATGTTTAGTTGTGGTGATGGGACCTCTCGGTTGAAAGTAATCATTTGTCTTTGACTCCTCCACAGTTCTACTCACATATTGTAAGTCACAAATATTCACTGTCCTGACCTAATGATTGGGGTGTTCATTATAAATGATAGGTCTACATCTTTCTTATGTGAACGCCATGTTGAAGCTCTTGACAACCCAGGTTTATTTTTAAAGTTATTTGATCAAAGTATTGTGTCTGTATAAATAGTGAAATATAAATAGTCACTGTCAGCTGCAACAGTTTATTGCAGGAAGCCAGTCAATTCATTTGTTTGCAGCTTATGGTTCCATTTCGGATTATGCTAATGAAATCTATTGAACAATAATTGTAATTTTGTACCGGTATATACTGGTATATACCGGTACCTGTCACTGGTAAGGTATATATAATTGATATAGAATATGTAATGTTTCACATGCTGTGACTATCAGTTGGTTTTTATATAAATGTAACTCCAAGAAAGCTCTTCTTATTTTGTGCTGTTGTAAATACTTTTTTTTTAAAATGTTGCATTTCAAATTGGGCATTTGTTGATGATAAATTTACTATGTTATTGTACTTAATAAATATGTCGGAAATATGGAGACAGACTTTATTTCGCTTTCTTCTTGTTCTCAAATCTCATGGAATACAAGAGAATACCGGTATTTGAAAGGCAAATGTTTGATTTTTATATTTTTGGAGTGTTCTAAGTGTGTTTGTTGTGAATGTCTAAGCAATTATTATTGATAGTATAAATTATAAAATGGTCCTTTAAATTTTTTTTTATTGCTTTTCATTTTATTATTGATCTTTTGTTCTCATCCCCAACCTGTCAACTTGTTAAAATCAATCACTGATAATGTGATCTATTATTGTATGTGTATGGGAGAGTGAATGTATATATTATGGAAGAAAGGGGGATTATGAGATGAACACTCTAATCCTTTCAACTCTTGTGTTGCAGATGTGTTTTAAAAGGGCAAATGCTTTTTAAGTAGTGTTAATTTTTAACATCTGCTTCATGATGAAATAAAAAAAAAGAGAGAAGTGATGATTATTAAGATAATAATAAGTAATTAAATGGATTATTTATTACTAGCCTTTTTCGTGTATTAATCTCTATAATATTAACAAATAGTCAACCAAAATAAATTAATTTTATTGACAATTTATTTTGTGACTGAAACAAATTATAAACTATGGAAATATGTTACTGAAGTAGAGAAATGTGTAGGCCTACATTTAGGAATTTGTTTAAAAAGTAAATTTAGATAGAATAAAAAAAAAAAGCAAATGTTTTGTTATTTTCAAAATTAATTCACTACCGGGTATTAGACCACATATTGCTTTAAGGTTACTTTTAATTACGGATAGGTACAGTAGAACCCGGTTATGTCGACGGCCTAAGGGTTTGCCAAAAAAAAAGCGTTGAGATAACCGATGATCGAGATAAACGAAAACCAATATGGCGCCAATAGGCCTATATTAAAATTTGCTTCAAATTTCTATATGTACGTGATGTGCGTTAATAAATGCGAATGAGTCTAATACACTAAATAGAGCCCAAATTTTAGGCTATGCCTAATTTAATAATTTAATTCAATAATAATTAATGGGATAGGCTACAGGGCCTAAGCCTAATAAATTTTATATTATACAAACTTTATTTGTGAAGTACTCATTTTAGTTTTAGGACAGCTTGCTTAGGCACATCCTTAGTTGGCCTACTTTCTGTTCACGAATGTTAGAAAAATGTAAGCTATATTTTTTTAAAATAAGTCTATAATATTAATATTAGGTACACATAGCAACGCGCGCCAATAGATTTTTCGGATCCGGGAAACAGACCATAAGCCCGTGACCGGTCAATGCCGGTAGGAGAATTTGGCGGTTCCACTTCAAAAACTTCGCCATAACAGGGTTGGCGAGTTAACCGAGGTCGAGATAAGCGGGTTCGACGGTACTTTCAATTTGAGCTCCTACACCATTGCCTTGCAAAGGTTTTCAAAATGCATATTGTGTGTGACAGCTCTGGTCAGCATATAAAATAGATTCAGCCATCATGTGTTTCTATTCCAATATAGAAGTAAGTTGATAGAAGTTATTGCTATGCACAAAAATAGCAACAAAAAAAAAATTGTTATTGCAGCAGAATTAACACGTGACACTTGAATTCTTAAACTTGAAAGCATAACCCTTTTTTTTTTTTTAAATTGTATTAGCCTTTAAGATCTTGCAGGTTTGACATCCCCATCATCCTTTCCCCATCTAAAAAAAATAATTCATGCTCTTTGATTTTTGACAAAATGGATTTCTTCAATTAGTTATTGCTCATCTTGTCCCATTTTTCTACTGTGGTTCCTATATAGGGGCCACATGGACCGATTTCTAATGCCTTCTACTGTAACGTAGTTTTCCGTCAATGTTTCAAAACTTTACAAATCCAGCCAGTTGAAGGCATCACAGATCATTTGCAACTCTCATTGTTTTTCTGAGACTGACCATTAGAAAAATGGCATTGGACAAATGTAACAATAAGATCTATACCAGTGGGTACCATGTTGGTACTGGTTCCGATTCCACTTTTTTCTACTCTTCCTGAATTTCTTTCAATAAGTTTATTATCTCGTCTTTGACTGTTTTGATCTCTTCAATGTTAGCCTTTTGTAATTTTTCTTCACTCATTATCGTAGACACATCTAGTTTTCTCTTGCGTATCACTTCAGTATCTAGATGAACAGATGAGCCATTCCCCCAAGTGACACTTTTGTCAGTAACCCCATCACCATATCGCGTTTTGTCCACACTACTCGTTTCCACCCTCTTTATTTGGACTCTCTGAGACCTCTCAAATTCTTGCTTTTTGATTGTCTTGACCTGCTCTGCTGAGGGATGCACCGCCTTTAGTCCCATCCCCGACACGCCTCTGTTGTGCGGTGAGCCTTTCGTTCCCAGCAAATCGAGGCTCCACGATTTCAAGAATCCTACCAAGTCATCATCCTCGTAGACCCCGGGGTCAGAGCTCTTGAGCACATCATTCACTGGACGAACTATCTTGTGCCTGGGCTCAAAACCGGTGGGTTTCTGTGCATCACTGATGTTCAGCATAGGATGTGGCCAGAAGGAGAAGAAAAGACAGTAAAGAATCAAAACGGGGTTACAAATAATTGGATCTTACTTGAATTATTAAGCAATGCACGCAATTGATATTTTAATATTCAAGTCATCAGTGTTACTCTACTGATGTAAACCCTATAAAATGCTCATGAATATACCGGTATTTAATTGGGATACCTTGTCCTCATGGCAATTTAAAAAAAAAATGTATTGTCATGATAGAAATAGAAACACGATATGTGTACCTAAGGATTTAATTTTGTTACCGGTACTTCATTCAACCGTGCAGACAGTTGATTTCCATATTAATGACTGCCCCCACCCCCACTGTAGAAACTGATTTAATAAATTAAATACTATTTGTAGAAGTCGGATTGAATCCAGCTTAAGACTTAAAAAGAAATATACAAAAAAAAAAAAAAATCCTTAAACTGAATTGTTGGAAAGCTTATTTTACAGAATGGTGGATTCTCAAGTTTAAATAAACCTGGCGATTGCAAAAAAACAACAACATGCGCTGCCTTCTCCAAGCGATCGTATCTTTATATATAACTATAACCAATCTCTACTGGCTGTAAATATGTGAGTCATTGAACCCAATTCACTCATTTATTTTTATTTTTTGTTGGTTCACGTAAACTCCAGTGAAATGATTGCATGTAGATTTTCAAATAAATATATCTCACCTTGATGCTACAGACAGCGTGTGCACAATTTCTAATGTCCACATGCCACCGGGATTCTCATCCCAGTTGTGAACTGTCATGAATGTAAATTCCCATTCACCTCTGAAATCATCTTTTGGTCGTGGGGCCAGTAAAACAGATCTTCAAGCAATGTACATTTAAAATTTTGTTAGTTTCTTGGTTTAATTGGATTGTATAAATCTGCATGTGTTTAAAGTGATAGCATGTATTTTTAAAAATTGATTACTATCTATAAAACTCTTTTCATGCATTATCATTAATTAATATTTATTTTTGTACTGTGAGGATGTGTGTCGGGGAATGAATGAATTGTGTATGGTACACAATTAAAAAAACAGTTATGCTGAATATTTCTTAGCCTGCAATGTCTTATTTCCCTTTCTTTTTCATTACATGCATTTTCAATTCAGTGTAAAAAAAAAAACAACCCAAGGACAACATGGCCCATTTTCAGTTCGGCCATTTCAGTTTCTAAGACGTTACAATGACAACTCTACCCAACTTCAATGTTGATGTTTGTCTCAGAGGAAAGAGACGGATAGCCTATACATCGGCGACATTAGACAAGGATGCAGTTCAACTAAAATTAACGTACCGGTATTTAATTTGTATCAGATTGCTCCCCGCCATTTTAAAATCCTCACTGAACCCCCCCCCCCCGGCACTTTACCCCTATTTAGCACCGCGTGTGATTCAAGTACCCGTATTAATACACCCTACACATACGGTACAAGTGTGTCACTGAGTGGAAACCCCCCCCGGCACTTTACCCCTATTTAGCACCGCGTGTGATTCAAGTACCCGTATTAATACACCCTACACATACGGTACAAGTGTGTCACTGAGTGGAAGAGGGTTAACTGAAAAAAAAACCGGTGTGAAGAAACTGACCTTGTTCGCGCTGGGGAAATAAGGGCAATGAGCATGTCTCCACGTCGTTTGCTGAACATTTGTATGTGCACCTGGACATGTTCAAGTCTGTCCACTGCATCCTGTTCACTTGCGCGACATGCGTCAGTCATAACATGTTTTATGATTTTTCCCCGCCTTGACAAATTTCTGTTGAATGGTTAAGAGTTAATATTTTGATACGGGTATTCAAAGGAACATTATCATTACCAGTTAGCTATTTTACAACTTTAAGCCATAATTTTTTTTTAAACAGGATACTTGTAAATTATTTCACTTAAAAAATAAAACTATTTTTAAAAATCTTTAAAGAAACACGCTTGTCCAAAAATGTACTGTAAATAAATGTTACCCAAAACTACATTAGTTATTAAAGTCATATCACAGCCATGGGTGCCCATGAAAATGAAATACCATGATGTCGTATGCCCTGAAAGTTACCATATTGGACAAGTAAGTGTAAGTGCTATGTGGCACAATTATTATGTTACAAGTTACCGGTACGGTAGAGATTATTTAATCTTGAAAATAAGAGTTCTCAAAACTGCCTTGTGTGTTACTGATGTATGCTGCCATCTATCTTATATTGACGAGTGGAGTGAAATTAGCGATACCCGGTACCGCTGTGACTGTGTGCATTTCTTTGCGATTTACAAAGAACATTGAATTCATGGGTGCCCCACGCATTTTTGGTCATTTTTTGTTTTGTTTTTAAATTCAAGAGGAAAGCGATCCGATTCCCTTACTTGTTAACAATCTGTGCCTTTACGGCATGACACCTCCTTTGAGCAGACACGTTGTCCCACATCTGTGCCAACTCAATCATCCTCCCACAGTCCATCAGACCAAATCCAAAACGATGGCTGACGTGGTGACCCGCCCCATTGATGAACCAGCTGTTGTCGTCAGAAGTTATTCTTGCCCCATTTACCACGACGTGCTGTATGTCTCGCCAGCTTAGCGTTGGGCTGAATAATAGCATGATTTCTTTCATTGTGTTACCGTAGCTGATACATTCAGTTTCAGCATGCATATTAAATGTATAGCGGGATAAATGATAAGTAAGCCCGTAACTAGTAGACCGGTAGTGAGAGTACCGGTAATGAGAGTACCGGTAATGAGAGTACCGGCAATGAGAGTACCGGTAATGAGAGTACCGGTATTAAAAGCATAACAGTTGACATCTTTGTTTCTGAAATGAAATTAAAAGATTACCTAACACAATGGAAGTTATTGTAAAATGAAAAACGTTTAAAAAATAGATTTTTTTTTGGGGTGGGTTAAACGAACCGGACTTATAATTATATATAGTTACCGGAGTACCTGTATTAACAGTGGCGTAGCTAGGGTTGGTGTCACCCGGTGCGGTAAACTCTTGTTGTCCCCCCCCCCCTGACTTCCCCGATGGATTTCTTCTTGTTAAAGTAAGTCCATAGTATAATAATGACAAGGAAAAAAAATTAATTGAAGGTCAGGAAGAGATAAATGTATTGAAGAGTTATTTATTATAGTTATTTTTACATTCAATTTACTTTATTTAAAATTTTCATTTTCTTGCTTCAAAGCTGCAAACTTGTCAATCACTTGATCGAAACTAATATANGGTAAACTTTTGTTTTCCCCCCCCCCCCCTGACTTCCACGATGGATTTCTTCTTGTTAAAGTAAGTCCATAGTATAATAATGACAAGGAAAAAAAATTAATTGAAGGTCAGGAAGAGATAAATGTATTGAAGAGTTATTTATTATAGTTATTTTTACATTCAATTTACTTTATTTAAAATTTTCATTTTCTTGCTTCAAAGCTGCAAACTTGTCAATCACTTGATCGAAACTAATATACTTCACCGTTTCAATTTCGATTGAAAGTAGAGCCATTTCATTAAACATTGACTGTCCCATGGTGGTTCGTAAATAGTTCTTAGAAAGCCTTAGTTTCGAAAAGCTCCGCTCACATGAAGCCACAGACTCGTGGATCGTGAGAAACAATTGAAAGCTTAGCGAGAGTATTGGAAGAGATGCTATGAAGTCCCATTCAGCTATGAATTTCAAAAAATCAAATACTGACCAGTCCATGATTTTGTGAAATTCTATATCAGCTCTTTAGGTGTCGGCTAAGAAATTGGTCTTTATTTTAAAAGTCATTTTCTGATAACTCATCATAGAAAGAGGTTAATTTTGGAACGGACACCAATAAACTCTTCTTTCCTTGCTGGTAGTAGACTCTTGGGTTGAACGCCCCCAAACATAACTACTACTTCCTTGATCTCCAATGATCTGATCTGGAGTACAAAATTAAAGCGATCAATACACCCCACCATCTCCCTACTGTTTTCTTCTCGCATCTATTAATTGTTCTCCTGCCATTTTCTTCTTAAACTTTAATCTTTTCTCTACCGAAATGACATATTGGTCTGATTTAAAAGTGCCTTTTCAATAGCATGTTCCACCAAGTGGCAGCGCTTCTCGTGCAGAAACGATCTTAAGGCCGCTAGGTTGGGCACCACTTCGTCAAGAGTAAAGCCTTTCAGTCAGTCTGCAGATACTGTTTTGTAAGATTAACTTCCTCAAGTAGATCAGCCAAAAGGTTAAGGTAGTAGACAAACGTGAAATCACTGACAGCATGTAAAATACCTTGTGATTTACCTCTTGTATCCAAATTTTCCAGACGATCACACAGAGCTTCACTCGTCGCCAGAAATTCATCAAACGTACCTATTTACAGGTGTCACCTCATTTTTAAAGCATCAACCTTGAAATGTTAAAAAGGCAAGCATTTGGATTGGTTACATGTGTGAAAAATGACGTGTGATAGGTTACCCTTTTATTTTTATAAAATTCTGTTAGACCGAGCAATGTGTGCTATGCAATTTTGCAATTTTTCTATTTGGTCCCCCCCCCCCGATATTGTGACACCCGGTGAGGTCCGCACCTCCCTAGCTACGCCACTGCCTGTATATATGTAATGTTACACGGTACTTAAGTCCTGTACCTACAGTTACACTACAGTAACTAATTAAAAAGGCAAGCATTTGGATTGGTTACATGTGTGAAAAATGACGTGTGGTAGGTTTCCCTTTTTTTTTTATAAAATTTTGTTAGACCGAGCAATGTGTGCTTTGCAATTTTGCAATTTTTCTATTTGGTCCCCCCCCCCCCCGATATTGTGACACCCGGTGAGGTCCGCACCTCCCTAGCTACGCCACTGCCTGTATATATGTAATGTTACACGGTACTTAAGTCCTGTACCTACAGTTACACTACAGTAACTAGCTGAGTAGCTGCGGTACTATAAACGAAATACACTTTAGAAGCGTTCAGTTTTTCTCAAGCACAGGCGTCGTTCTATGTTTGGGATCAAGACGAATCCAGAGAGGAAAACTTCCTGCTCGCTCTGAAACTCACTTTGCCTGCAGTATGTTGGCAACACAACCAGCAGCCAAAGGGGCAGCACTTGATGTGCCTTGAAAGTTCTCAATACATCCATCGTTAATATCTGTGGTTACCTGCAGTATGCAACAGAAGAGAGGAACAGTATTATATAAAAAAAAGCAGGAGGGGAAATGAGCCGTTTGATTATTTTTAACGAGGAAAATATTAGAGGTATTTATAAACATGATTGACGCATGTCTGAAGTCCTGCCAGTCTACCCGTGGTAATCTTTCCTTAGCACTTAGGGGCTGTCCATTAAGTGTCACGCTTTTTTAAGGACAATATCTACCTCCCTCCTTCTCCACAGTCATAATATGTCACAAATCTTAGACCATCCCCCCCCCGAAGTACGTCATATGGGGATAGAGAGAGGGGGGGGGGAGGAGAAATAAACAGAGGAAGGACAAAGGGAAAGAGAGAGGGGAAGGAGAAAGATGGAACATTCAATGACTCCTGACCACTTTAAGTTTGACTCGCCCAGTTTCCTCCTCTTGTCCTGGCGACTCCCCGCCACCGCTGGGCACAACAGCCAGCGTCGATGTACAGTTCTCTGCAAAGAATGGACTCAGGCCTCTTTCATTGACAGAGCCAACTGCAAGGGTTTCCGGCATATTAACGTATCCGTCAGCGTTACAGTCATCTTGGTTGATGCCGCCATTGCCAGTCGCCCAGACAAAAATAGATCCAAGGCCGTGGCGACCCTGACGATGAAAATAAAATTTTCTTTCAAATACCGCTCCTGAAAATTCTCCCCAAACGTAAAAAAAAAAATACATTAAAATTCAATTTGCTTTATAATTTAGATTGTATCAGGGCAGTGCTCTCCAACCTGGGGCCTGCGAGCTGATATTTATTACGATGCGCACTCCATCAAATTCTAAAAAAAATACACTTCTTCGAAATGGCAATTAATTATTTTTTATTATTAAATAAAGGGCTGCTCCTTCCGCATGGCCCGGCCCAAGGACAACGCGGCACCCCAGTGTGACGTGGTGCATATTCCGTGAACCGCTTGGCTCTTCAAACAATGGTTAAAATCTGGGACGCTTTTTTTTTCCTCTGTGACGTCATAATTGTGCACCTGTATAATTAATTGATTTGTGAGATTCTTTAAAGAGGTTGCGGATCGAAATCTTGTTGTACGTATGAGAGTAAGAGGGGAAAAAAAGGATGGGGGGGGGGGGGTTGGAAATTTTGTGTTTTAATGCGTATGTACTACATGGTTGGCCCCAAGCATCTTACCACTTCTTCGATCTTTAAAGAGGTTGCGGATCGAAATCTTGTTGTACGTATGAGAGTAAGAGGGGAAAAAAAGGATGGGGGGGGGGGGTGTTGGAAATTTTGATTTTTAATGCGTATGTACTACATGGATGGCCCCAAGCATCTTAACACTTCTTCGTATGTTTTTGTAAAACTTTAACTCATGCTCTTACATATTTAACCCCATTCCCAAGAGCTTCTGAGGTCAGCTGACTGGGACCCTCCATGACAGCCCCATCATCGCTGGGCCCCCAGGAAGCGCTGTAGATATCGATGAAGTCATTATTGAAAGTTAGGGCTTCTGCTTCCAGGGCATCGGTGATGATTCCGTCAAGAATTCGAACACCTGTGTAATATACCCCGTAATATAAGACCGTTTCCGTTGCATTCTAAAGTGCATTTAGTCCCAAACATTTTTTAAATATAAATGGGGGTTTCTAACTAGACGATATTATATGAAAATGTTAACAAAGCGATGTGAAGTACTCTATAATGAATGTCATTAATGAGGTAACAATAACACAAATGATAAGAAAGTAATGATTTCAAAATAATGTAAACGATAGAGTGGTAATAACAAAATCGGGTTTAAAATTATTTTTTTAAAATATTTTTATGTCTAATTTTTAAAATTTGTGGCATTTGCCTGTGTAGACTACTCAGGACGAAATCACAAGATCTGTGATTTTTAATTATTAGAATAAGCTGTATCTCTAGACAGCAAAGAACCTCTCTTCAAGAAACTGGATAGACCTAACTCTAAGGAACAAGAAGTGGAGACGATACGGCTTGGCACAAGTTAGCGTCCTAGGACTTGCCGGAAATTTCAATGGCATATACCGCCTACGGGACTCCATCTCCTGGGGCTCAATCTTCGGGTTTGAATTCAGAATTTTCCCCTTCTCTTAGCTGAGCTGCCGTCCATGGATAACGAGCCCCCAATCCAAACGGGTTGCCGGGAATATGTCGTTGCTTGTCTAGGAATCTGCTGGAGATTTAACTCATGTCCACAAGCTTGGCAGGGACTCAGTTTAGACCGCTCGGTCACTCCACTAGACTTGCAGAGTTTGTAATCAATTTAATGTTGTTATATGGGATATATTTTAGAAGTTGCTCAACCCAACCCACCTCCAATGCTGGCCTCGTAAGCCACGCCCACACCACAGACACCATTGTTGGCGCTGGCAGCAACCTCCCCGGCGCACCGTGTACCATGGCTGAAATAAAAAATTTAAATTTTAACGATTTAAATTTTTACTAGACAAAATACTTTTCTTTTAGCGAACCTATCGCATCACGTGTATATTGAGCCCAAATGGCGCATGCCCCAAATGTGGTAACTGACTGGAAATGACTGTCCCGTTCTAATTTCTAACTAAGGTATTAATATTAACAATTCCAGATAATCGAATTATACTTATAGGTTGAAAAAAAAAGCTGAGACATAAATCGAAGACCGTAGAAGATTAACAGTAAACATAGCTGGAGGATTTCTCCTTTTTTGTTGTTGTTATATTAAAGATAAACATGGCATGAATGTCCCGTTCTGACAATGGTTTGTAAAACAGCATTGCGTGTATCATACTTTCTTTGGGTTATATTTATAATGCATAGCCAACCGTCCAAACGTAATTTAACATGATCGTTTCAATCCCTGCCGCTGACCTGTTGTCAGTGTTCGATGTGTCAGGCATTGGATCATTTAAGTAGTCAGTCTGGTCGTTTAAATCAGTGCTAGCGTTAGCCACCTGAAAAAAAATAAGTGCATTACGGTAATTAATCAAGAATTCGTCGTTATTTTCCACATAGTCACATAGCGTTCTAGTTTTAGATATCTTTTGAAAATTGTCTCTCTGCTCATATGAAAACTGTCTATCTGGCCAATATGAAAACTGTCTATCTGGCCAATATGAAAACTTTCTATCTGCCAATATGAAAACTTTCTATCTGCCAATACGAAAACTTTCTATCTGCCTATATGAAAACTGTCTATCATCCAAAATGAAAAACTGCCCCACTTGTAAAACGATAGTCTTCCCAAAATAAATGATCATTATATAATTTTAAAAAAGTGATAATGTGTGTGTTCCTGGCTGGAAACATTTTCATCAAAAAGTCAGCATTCAAGGGGGGGGGGTGGGAGGGGGGGAGGGCGACAAAAGAGTCTTTTCAATGCGCGAATGAGTTTCATGGTACCAATAATACCTGAGGCAATTTAGACCTCAAATTAATGTTTTTAAAATTAATTGAATAAAGATTGTTCAAAATTAGAAAATTTAGTTGTTTTTTGTTAAAATATTTTTTGTGATGACACACATTTTTGACCTCCCCTCCCTCCTGCCACAAAGTGTCGCAAATGTTCGACACCCCTCCCCCACCCCCGAGCGTGACGTAATTTGCGAACTAACCCTAACTAATTAAATAAAGTGCCACCCGAAACTAGACTACCGAAGGCAAGGTAGGCTACTCACGTAGTTGTTAATCAGATCCGGGTGAGAGTGATCTATCCCGTCGTCAAGGATACACACAACGACGCCTTTCCCCGTGAACCCGTTACTCCACACAATGGCCATGTTCATGTCCACACCTGCCTCTCCCCCGCTTTGACCCTGGTTGACCTGTCCAAAAGACAAAAACAATAATTCCTTGTGATCTAGGTACATGTATGTTACACTCAACATGCGTGGCCGGGGGACAAGTAGCCTACAAAACTAGAAATGGCTGCAGACCAGGGATGCTCAAACATTTGGCATTTTAAAAGTAAATAAAATGGGCTGAAGATCAGAACAGTCATTAACAATATGGGCATCATGACGACCATAGAGACGTGAGGCCCTGGGAAACTGCCCATTATGCCCATGCCTTAAGACGGCACTGTATTTATGTAGCAGCTGTTTCGTAAGCTGTCCTAGGATATTCATTCATTTCATGTGACGTTCAATTTTTTTTATTTTTTTTTAATTTGTAAAAGGGCATACTTTTAAAAATATTGGTATTGAATTATATAGAGATATTCTTTGCGTCTCTTTTTTATGTCTGAGATCGACTAATCATTTGATTAATGGCACTAATAGATTTCGATAAGATTATTGAACCAAATAAATGAAAATGTTTTTGGATTACATTGTACATATTAATTTTCAGCCAACAGATAAATACATATATTTTTTTTAACCAAGACAACATTTTACAACTATAACAATTTAAACACAAGACATCTAATGTATTTCTTTAACTTGAAAATAAGCCGTAAAAGAAATTTGTTAACTCCATTGTTAAAAATGACGTAATTGGGGATCATTTAGCTTTGGTAACCGCTGGGGGAGCACGCTGGTAAATTCGTACAGGCAGGGGAACAAACGAATTTTCATATCTTTGGGTCCTAATTTTAAGAGAAAGTCTTCGCCCCGATCGAACTAATCTTAGGTTATCAGTGATGGAGTGGTTGGGATGTATCATACACATGTTTTAACGTTTTACAACCTAACTTTTCTTCAAACAGTTCTTCAAGTGAAGGGTCTTTGGTTTATGTGATAATACTAGCTTTCTTGATTAGTCTATTTGATCGGTGTTTGATGTCAGACGATGAATTCCCGACACCAGCAGGTAATATTGAAGTTTAGTAGTTAGTAGGCTTCCGCTTATTGCACTGTAGAATAGGTAAATAACTTGTTTGTTTACGTTAAAATTGTACAATATTTTAAGAGAGAAAAGTCTTTGATTGACTTTTTAATACACAATTTGGCTGTGTTCGTGCCATGTAAGCTAAATATTAATGGTGACACCTATCGGTACCTATAGGTATATGTTTCTACTTGTTCTAGACTGTGTATTTTATCGTGAGTCCTGCTATTAGGTGATACCCCTTCGGAAATCGACAACCATTTCCTTCAGGGTTTTTTCATCAACTAAAGACAATTTTCATGGCACAAAATGGTAAGGTTTCCAGGCTGTGGTATAAGCTGTACCCTTCAGATATTGAAACAGCGATGGTGGCATTATCAACAAATTTAATTATTGGAACGATGTTGCTTGGGCTCTGGATGTCATTGGTATATACTGTACACAGGACGGGGGAGAGAACGCAAACTTGTGGCACTCTAGTACTACATTTTTCTAGTTACTAATATTTGCTAACTCCCCTTGAGATATTGTGAGCGATTTGTTTCAAAGTTCAATATTCATGCTTGAATATTTGAATTTACACCTAACGTAGAAAGTGTTTTTTCATAATAAAGTGTGGTTGGATAGTGTTATATGCTGATGAGAAGTCTAGGAAAAGCACCCAAAAATTTTTAGGGCTGTCTAGGTGATGGTAAAGTCTCTCCAATTATATAACGGATAAAATAGATGATTCGCATACCAAGTACCACAGAATAAAATAAATAATTCACATACCAAGTACCACAAAATAAAATAAATAATTCACATACCAAGTACCACAGAATCAAATCAATGATTCACATACCAAGTACCACAGAATAAAATAGATAATTCACATACCAGGTACCACATGTCGTTGAATTTGGGATCATTAAACTTGGCGCCAACTCTGTAGACCCCATCTCTCTGTGTTAAATTGGGAGGAACAACTCTTGCGAACACCGAGTCATCCTCTATGGTCCTGATCGGCAACTCCAACTGTTTGTCGTGGAGGATGACCCTCCTCTTAACTCGATGAAGTGTGACTTCCTGTTGAGCATGCTTGACCTACAGAGAGGGCAGACACAAAATAATTCCAAGATGTATACATTAGTTTTTTTGAAAGGGTCAGCTATAATCAGGGGCGTATCTAGATGTGCGAAGGGGGAAACCGCCCCCTGTCTGCAGTTTTGAGATTTATATATATAACATTATAAAATAATGTGTATATGGGGAGGGGGGTGAATTAGTGAGTTCGCCCGGTTGGAATTTAGTCAAGGTGCGCAAATTATCTCTAAATTTTTCAAGAAGAATCGGATTTGACCCTACATACAAGATTATTTTTAAAAACAACATTCGGAAAGTTGAATGTTTGAAGCATGTATCCAGGGGTCGAGTTCTGCATGATATAACCTTAAACATGAATATGATTATAAATAGGCTTATTACCATAAATTTGAGGGTTGAAACCAGGACGTATGGTAAGCCTAACTATAAATATAGTCATTTTTGTATCCAAGAAAAAATTCTTAAAATATAATATGTAGCTGGTAAGTTGTTGGGCAATACAGTTTTACTTTTATTTAGAATACAGGAAGCGAGGTCTTGAGAACTATATCTTTATTTGATATTACTAATAGTGTGGTAACCAGAAATAGAAAAGGCGAAGAAAAGGACACTTTCTAAAAAGATACATGATAACAATGATGATATAATTGTACAAGTTATTTTAAGTTAAAGTGAATAAAACATAAGTATGAATGTATGTAACTGGCAATAAACATGGGGGATAACTCTGGATTTTACAGGCCATTCAACGTCTGACAAACATAAATAAACAACAAAAAAACATATTTTTAATAACGAGTGACAATCATGTTGGATAATCAATTTGAACAGCGACGATGATTCATTAGAAGAGTTGGCCCAACATGAGTATCCAAATGGCAAATAAAATAACCCTTTAATAACATTTAGCCCTTTACAAGCCCTCGGAAAACTTTTTGTGAAGAATTACAAAGAACCATTACCCTGTCATCTTGCTTCAGGGTGTTCAGCAAGTCTGTGGCGCCCCGTCTCGATCTCCTTGGGGCGGATGCGTACTCCAACATAAACACGTTGATGTGCGGCAGCTGGTGGTCAAGACAATAGAATGTGTTTTACTATGAGTGGCCTCGAGAATAAGAAAACCTTCTACGTGTGCAGTTTTACATAAGGTGAAATTCACAAAGATATAAATACATATTTGATCTTGAACAATCAGTGGAAAGCTTTGACACGTAGGGCCGGACGCCTCGTATGTGTTGTTGTGGGTCCGTGTTGTATTTTAAATACAAAGATGCGTAGGTTAGTTAGTTCAAAAGTTTCCATTTAGTGGATTATATCACGTCATATGCATTTAAATTTTAAAGAAGTCAAGCTCCTTTGGCTAGTGTCCCTAGGATAACGTTCTGCACAAGAGACACTAAGGTCAATCATTATGGTATGATGCTAGAAACGCTTCTTGCGTTATAGAATTGTACATTAAAGATAGTTTGTTAGCAGCTAGTGTTTGTATTCCCAAATTGTCCACTCTATCCCTTATGTCTCAATCCCACACAGACGAAGTGACAACGCACCTCATTTTTGACGAGGAAGCCGTGATGTCGTGCAATGATTTCCGCCGTTTCTCTGGAGCCATTTTTCAGCCGAACAGCGAACAGGTTTAAGAAGAGGTCGTCTGCTGCACTCAGCACGCTCGGGATAGGGTAACAGGTGAGGAGTGTCCCAAACAGCCATGCTGTCAAAGTAACTCCCATAATGTTAGCATCGTTGTCTGAAGGGTAGAATTGTACACATATAAATTTTCTGTATTATTTTTTTTATTAAATAGGTATGTTTGCGTGATAATATTACTTTCATTGCCAAAGTCTGTCAACCTGTCACCGCAATACGCTAGACCAGGCCTGCACAACATACGGCCCGTGGGCCACATGCGGCCCGCGAGCACCTAATTTGTGGCCAGCGAAGTAGCGAACTATACTTTATTCTTATTATTTACTTAATAGCTTTCCCCCCTGTCCTATTTTCTTTTAGCCCGCCCAAGTCCTGTCCTATTTTCTTTTGGCCCGCCCAAGTCCTGTCCTATTTTGTTTTGGCCCGCCCAAGTCCTGTCCTATTTTGTTTTGGCCCGCCCAAGTCCTGTCCTATTTTGTTTTGGCCCGCCCAAGTCCTGTCCTATTTTGTTTTGGCCCGCCCAAGTCTTGTCCTATTTCGTTTTGGCCCGCCCAAGTCCTGTCCTATTTTGTTTTGGCCCGCCAAGTCCTGTCCTATTTTGTTTTGGCCCGCCCAAGTCCTGTCCTATTTTGTTTTGGCTCGCACAAGTGTTTCATACAGCGGTACGGCCCGCCTTACATTTTGAGTTGTGCGGGCCTGCGCTAGACAATGGTCTTCTGTGGCCACCGAATGAAACAAGTCTTGGTGTTTCATTTTGAAGCTTTCATTTCTACTTATATATTTTGTTGTTTTATTTTTAATTGAAGCTTTCATACCTCAAATTACCAAGTTCAAATAGTTCACAGAGGCATTTTAGCTACGGAAAGAAGTCGACTATATTGAACAATCTTTGTGCCTGGTCACCATAAGCGTGATTTTAAAGCGGACATGCTGGCCTTGAAACATTTTTACCCCCCTTTATTCGAGATAAAAAAATATTATGGCATTTCTTGCTTGATATTCTCCCAAACGTTAAATGTGACATTTTAAAATTGTTCACAATGTTTAGTTGCACATGGCTGTGTGAGTTTGTTTAAATAATTTTTATAATGAGCTGCTATCCAAGGTTGACGAGTCAAGTGCAACCACAAGTATATAATATACATATATTTAGGAAATCTAGTCGCTGATGTGACTTGATGGCCACACATAGAATCTATTGTCCACTAAGGCTCCATCAGATATACGTAGCTGACAAAAGATGCATTCATGTTTGTAACGAAATATAAAATTATTTTGTGGGTGTGTGTGGAAACTTCCCCGTACCAACGCGCTGCACCAATACAAATAATGTTACCCCTTATCAAAGTACTTGTCTGTTATCAAACCTCTAGAGCAGGGTTTCCCAAACCTTGCTGTAATCTACTTCCATACGAACTGTTTTTGTGTGAGTCTCGCGCCCCTACAAATGTAGCATTGCGATTCATTTTTAATATTGAGAATTACATTACAATCAGTTTTACTCGTCTCTTGAAATTCAACTTTGCACCCACCCCTCTTTTCTCTTAGATGCAAGCCCCTCCTCCCCTTTCCAGCTCTGGGATAAATATATGACATTTTAAAGACTCCCCCCCCCTCCCTCTTTTCTCTTCGATGCAAGCCCCTCCGCCCCTTTCCAGTTTGGGACCACCCCCCCCCCGCTCCAGTGAAGCTATAGAACTGACAGGACTGAGGGCATTTTATATCTGAGCACGGGTCTCAGATAAAGTATGGACACCTTTTAAACTGTCAACGTGTTGTCTGTTGGGGTACACGATTCGAATTTTCAATTTATTTATTGGTCTTACGCTTATTTTTTTAATTATGACAACAAAAATCGAGTTCCTTTCGTCAAATAAACTGCGCTATAATCACCAATGACTTTATTAGTGGGAACCAGTTTGATTATATTTGTTGTTGAGCGACATCATATTTTGAAGACAACGAAGGGCACACATTGCCATTGAAATAACGCCCTTGAAAAAAAAAGGGGGGGGGGAGGATTCATTAACCACCCACAGTAAAATCTACCCACAGTAAAATCTATCCACTTAATGGGCTTTGGAACTAAATATCTGACTCCCTGGCCGATGGAGACAAAATTTGATCAGAGAACTTTTGAAATAAACTTATAATGGAGGTTTTGATTTCCCACAGAGCCAAGCCAAGCTCTTATAAAAATTATTGACCCACTATTTAACGACTTCCATTAGTTATCAACCCATATAAAAAAACAACAACTCATTATTACATGACACCAAAACATCACAATTTTTTCCTTAGTGAATCTTTTCTTAAATGAATTTTGGGAGACTAGTGAAACGTTCTTACCTTATACATCCTTGCTACCTTGTGGTTGTGAAATAACCCAATGTTTCAAAATCTCAATGTCTCCTAAATGCGGGGGTCGCGTACCTGGTACCTGATTTCCGAAAGCACATACACAGACACCTCCAATGTTGATTTTAGTCCTACCTGTGACGCCATTGAAACTCCGTCACCACCCTAGATGGCTGATTTGGGTGGAGTTGTCATTTCAGGGGCGTCATCTCAGGTGTTTTTTTCACCAAAAAAAAGGGGGGGGGGCAAACCAAAACTTGGTCAGCTTGTTAAGTTGTTTATTATTCGAGGCGCCACACTACATAGCAATTTAAATTAAAAATGCAAATTCGTCAGGGGGGGGGGGGGGGGGGGGGAATGCTCCACCCTGCCCTACCCGAATGACGTTCCTAAAGCAGGGGTGAAACGTGGTAGTTGAAGATAGACCTAAACAAGGGAGCAAACCGTGATAAATTTGTTTATACAAATCAAGAGTCCGAGCAATGGTAGTGGCAAAACGAAAAAATAAGAAAGAAAAAAACCCTCCAAAACTGTGGCGCTACAGCCCATGTAGGGTTTTGGCCTACCTCACCACTTCCTCCCACTCAGACCATCCATTTATCCCTTTGGCGCTACAGCCCATGTAGGGTTTTGGCCTACCTCACCACTTCCTCCCACCCAGACCATCCATTTATCCCTATGGCGCTACAGACAATGTAGGTTATTGGCCTACCTCACAACTTCCTTCCACTCATCTCATGCATTCATCCCTGCGGCGCTACAGCCCATGTAGGGCTTTGGCATAATTCACCACTTCCTTCCATTCATACCATCAATTTCATCCCTGTTGCGCTACAAACCATTTTCATTTAGGGCTTTGGCCTGCCTCACCACTTCCTTCCACTCAGACCATCCATCCATCTTCGAGGCGCTACAGCCCATTTAGGGTTTTAGCTTGCCTCACAACTTCCTTCCACTTAGACCCAACTGATTCTTTTCTTTTCAATGCTTGTATTCACAGCTGCTTAAGTTTTTTTGTTCACACTGTCAATCCATCTTAGCCTAGGTGTAAACTGAAGCCGTTTTCTAATACTTATAGTGGTTTCGTTGTGCAACCTCTTTACTTCTCTGTTATTTGACATTCTAGGTGCCCCCCCCCCCTTTCTGCATCGAGCGAGGGATCCTTATAGAGACTATACTATTCCTGGTTGGTTCGTATTCTCCACCCATAGTCATCCTTTATTGGTGCATAAATTTTCCAAAAAGCTGTTCTCTCCCATGTTTTTAATAGGTTTTTCAGTCATTTTTGTTAGGGTCCAAGTTTCACGATGTATAATGTTATAACTGGTCTGATTTAAGTTTTATTTATAGTTTTGTTTTCATTGTAATTTTTTAAACTTTTATTTGTATATTTTCTGACTACTGAAGCACGCCTTGTTTCCCTCCGATATTCTTTCTCTTATTTCTGCGAGTAATTTATTTTGTTAATTTCTTAAGGATCCTAGATAATTGGATTGATTTGCTTTTTCAAAAGTATGATGTCTAAATTTAATGGTTTGATTTCTCTGTTCCTCCATTAACATAGTCATGCATTTTGTTATTTAGGTTGCTAACTTCCATCCAACCCAGCTTGCGGTGATGTGTCTTCTAATTCAATAAAGGCTTTTCCACTATGTCTTTAATACTTTTCCCTAACATACTAACAGGGCTATGTCATCAGGGGTTGGTTGTAAGAGTGCCTATTGGTCATGGGTCTTGGGGTTTCTGTCATTGCTGATTATTAACATAATGTTGAGTGAGCCTCTGACAAACAAGATGTTTTGTCAAATGGGTAATTAGTTTTTATTTCTAACCAATAGGGCACAGAAGTGAGGACAAGTTTGATTTCGTTGTTACCTTAAGTAGTGTTTACAAATACTTTTCTCTTCAGAAATAACACCCAGGAAAGAAATAATTTCTTAATGAAGCCCAAGTTTTACAAAACAAACTTTTTTTTTTTTTGACGGACAGAAAAAAAATGTAATACTGGGTATCAAAAAGGTCCCACTTTGGGAAAAATGGTCGCAGGGGAAGCAGCCGCTCCCCCAGTGGCAATACCCTGTACTACAGAATATCAAACAAACGTCATGGACAACATTACAGAAAATCAATCCTACATCACAGACAAGACTTGTATTATTTCCTTTCTGTCCCCACCAAAGGAAACAAATCATCCATTAAATACAAGCAATGACCAGACTGGAGTTGGACACATTTTTTAATTTCTTTTTAAAATTGAACAGATCCTAAAAAAGATTTTGACAAAACCATTTGATATAAGATAACATGAGTGAGCAAATATAGTACAGCAATAAGAGGACATAAACAAGAAGTTTGCATGAAAATAACATTTCTTTTAAAAAACAGCAGATAAAAATCAAATCTTACATTAGAAAAATTAAACTCCCAGTTGTCAGAGGATGGTATATACACTTGTGTCCCCATAAGGTTATCATAATAAGCAATATGATCTCAAAAAATTGATAGTACGGCTCACACTAAAAAAAAAACTTAAAACATTAATTACAATTCACTACTTATTCAATTTTGTGCAATTTCTTATTTTTAAACAATTCACTTTATTATGTAAAGCTAGATAATTGAGAAAATCAGCGCTCAGTATATCAAATAATTTTTGTGGGCATGTCAAATAAATTACATTGTAAGACTGAAATACTAACTATTGTAATACATTATTATTGCTGGTGCATCATCCAAGATGTTCCACTACTACCGCAGATGTAGGATAATAACCCGCCAAAGAACATTTCAGCTAGCATATGCACAAGACAATTCAAGTTCAACTACAAAATTGCAGACGAACACAACAGTGCCCCACACAATACTAATCTACAGACTGAGATTTCAACTACACTCTATACGTTCACAAGAGGAAAGGCGCGCATTGCTTGAATGGATTCCACGGGTCAGTGTAACTACTGTTAAGGTCCTTGATGACCATTACCTCCCCTACCATCAGCCAAGCCACTATTGAAATGTTAGACAGTTACAAGAACTGGGCAAAAACATCTTACCACAACAGGTTACCACCATTCTCATAATTATTCAACGCACATTTCTCGTTCATGTTCTTTTGTTTTAATTATGGAAAGAAACAAAAAGAAAGAAAGAAAAATCCTTGTAATTATTTAGTGATAAAAACCATATCAACATCTGAATAGTCTAAAGTTGTCAGGCTATTACACATTCATTACTTGTTTAGTTCCTTGCACTTGACTTACAATAATATATTTAAATATGTAAATGTGTTTTACATTAAAAAAAAATCAGCCTTTCAAGTGTAATAAAAATGGAAACCTTTTCTATCAATTCTCATACACTTGAGAAAATGAATTGAATTCCATCATTATCTAAAGGCATTTGAATTCAGCTTGATTAAATTTGTTTACAAGCTAAAACAATATGAATGAATTTTTTTCTGTTTTTTTTTTTCTGTTGAACCTACTGTCCCAGCTTCTCCCTCAAAATATTGTCCAGCTTGACGGCATCTGCAGCAAATTTACGGATGCCATCACTGAGCTTATCTGTGGCCATCTGGTCCTCATTCATCTGCCATCTAAAAACTTGCTCTGTCACCGTCACTTTAGAGATGTCTAAAGATTTGGCTGGAAAAAAATATTCAATAAATTGTGTACTTTTACTATTAGATATTGAAGTTAACAACAGCTTCAAATAGGTTGTTTTTTTTTTACCAACAATTATGAAATGAATAGTTGGCTTATTATAATATGAGCAACAAGCAAATGGAAATGTATAATACAAATAAATATGAGATAATTTTGAACATCCTCAAAAGAACTATTCTATTTACTAGAACTAAACACTGTAATTTCAGTATATAATATTCGAAGGCTGTCCTATTTCAGCTACTCAAAACATTATGTCACACTGACTATTTTATATACAGGGAGAAATATTTTTTAAGTCAAACAGATTTGTACATACCATTCTCTTCATCAAGATATTTTTCTACTGTTTCTGTTGACTGAGATAACTTATCAAGTAAAGCTGGTCTAAAAAGAAAAATATCAACAAAAAACAATTTAAAAAAGCCTACATAAAACCATTTTCTACATGGAGTTTATTAACAATTTTTTCCTTATATTTATGCTTATCTCACATTACACATATATGGAATCAGATACAAAAATGGCTAGTTGAAGCCATCAGACTTTAAGTAGACGTAAGGGAGCAAAACACTATACTTATAAATTATTAGTTATTAACAGTTGCATCATTTCTACTACACTACAATTATTTACAAAGATATGTTTGAATAAAAGAGAAATAGAATCTTACTAAATATAATCACCAAATATTGAGGACTCTACTTACGAAATGGTCAGAAGATCACAGCCGGCCAGACCAAAGATTTCTCCAGTGTTACGGAATGAAGCTCCCATAACAACAGTCTTCAACCCAAACTTCTTGTAATAGTTGTAAATTTTTGTAACACTTTTCACACCTGGAATAATTGAATAATGCGTTAACTTCAGAGAAATCTTTCTCTGGTATTCATAGATAAAAGACAAAGCACAATGATAACTAGTTTTACACTTAGTGTTATAACCAGTGTTTCTCAACTGGTGTAATGTGCCCACCAGTGTGATACTATGTTTATCAAATATGCACACAAAATTTTTTATTTAACTAAAACAACTTCCAAAGACAAAAATTTCATTTAATTTTTTTAAATAAAATTGATTAAATGCACACTTTTGAAGGGTTGTTTTTTCAAAGGCGCAAAAATTTATTATGAATATTTTTTCTTTTAAAAGTCAAGTTAGCATTTTTTCAAAAAAACAAACAAGATAACTTATTTACAAAATTTCAAGATTAAGCGAAAAAAAAATACTTATATTTAAATTTTTAAAACCAAATGTATTGAAGATCACATTCAAAGATATGAATTCTATACCTGGATCTTCAAGGGGGTCAAAGGTTTTGTTTTCAGTGTTGCTGACAAACCAATCAAGAATTCTACCAACAAACGGAGAAATCAAAGTAGCTCCTGCATCAGCACATGCAACAGCCTGTAGCAGTAGACAATATCAAAATAAACCTAAATGTCTAACACCAATTAGAACAACATGAAAAAACTAACTTCTTAAATACTACATTACCGGTACCACAACTTCTGAATGCCACACGTTTTTTTACAACACGTCAACAAACAAAAAATAACAACCTATATTATATAATATTTTAATTAAATGATTTTAAGTATAAACTTACCTGATAGAAATTGAAAATCAGTGTCATATTGCAGTGTATTCCAAATTCTGATTCGAGAATTCTGTTTAAAAATATAAAAAAAATAATATAAATAAGATACTCATTACTTATCATCACAACAACAAATTTAACTTTGAGATTAGAGATTCTGAAAAATTCTGGTCAACAAAAATTTATTTTTCATATTAACCCATGTGCACCACTAAGCGCCATTTGCTAATTTTATCCATTAATCGCAGTTCTGAGCTATGCTTTCCACTTTTAGCAGTTAATCTCCTTTTCTCTCTTAAGGCTTGTTCTCCGTGTGTTCTGTGGTCTTTCATTACTGACGGAGACTGCCATATTTCTCTATGTGTGTTCTACGACAGTGACTGTTACATTGTAATATTTTATTGTTTCCTCAGTGTATGTCCACATCATGTACATTTCCTTCTCTGTATTTCTTGCTCCACAGAATCAATTCCCAAAAAAAGTTCTTTCATGGCATTTTCATTTTATTACTATTATGTTACTTTTTCTTTTGTAATTCCTTTATGTATAAGTTTTAAATAACCTGATATTGTGCAAATATATATGGTGATTACATTGCAAGAAGACTACCTCCTTCAGTAAAAAAAATGCCCTGTAACTCCCTAAGCAAAATGTCTTGTAAACCTCTCAAGAACATTATCTGTAACTATCTCAGTAAAATGTCATGTAACTACTTCAAAACCATTCTAAAGTCCTTTTAAAGACTAAGAACATACCAACCAATTTTATATATACCAGTTAATTATTTTTTTTATTATGTTTATTTACAAGTCTATCATAAGAACTTTTACAGTATGGAGATGCCATAAATTTTAAGCAGCTATAAGAAATAAATAAATTAATATTGCAGTTTACCTGCAGGCCTGAATGCCCTCCCATGTTGAAGCCAATTTAATAAGAATTCTCTCTTTATCAATGCCAGCATCTTTGTAAAGTTGTATCAATTTCTGGGCCTTCTCTACCATTGCTTCAGTATCAAAAGAGAGTCTGGGATGATTAAAAGAGAATAGCATAACTCAACAGCGCTACATAAATCATATCATTAAGTCAGTGAAAGTGCTTACATTTTAACAGCTAACAAACTATACTTAATGTACATGAAATTTACAAGAGAATTATACGTTTTTCTTGGAAATCATAATAATAACACTTTAGATAGTCACCTTGCATCAACTTCGGTGGATACTCTGCCTGGAATTATTTTTAGAATCTCCACTCCAAAATTTACACAGACTTTGTCAAGAGCATTTATCAACTGCTGTGGTTCCTTCCTAGTGAATTTAAGACAATCAACTAAGTAGTTATCAAAAGTAAACTCATTTAAAATGTTTACCAAAACTAACTCATCGCAAAATTTCACACTCAACACTTCCCAAGACAGGATTTGTTATTAACCAATTTCCAAATTAAATATCTTTAATCCTTTAAATTGTATACTATAATGACTACAGCTGATGGTGAAATTAATTTTTGTGTACATTTTGTATACTCATTTTTCTTTGAGGGCAAAACATGGTGCTTCCCAAAAAGAAATTACCACCGGCATACAATTTAATGTATTATGCACATACACACAGACAACCAACTTAACTCTATAGGCGTACCTACTTATAGTTATACCAGTACTCAAGAAGCACCTAAAATTAAAAAAAAAATTTACATTTTAACTGTATATTTTACATACCCCCCCTGTGCCTTGGCGTAAGTGACTGCATCATCAATCAGTTTTTGGTATGCTGGCATACTTGCTGCTGCTAAAATCAGAGATGGATTGGTAGTGGCATCAGTAGGTTGGAATTTTTTCATAGCTTGAAAAAAAAGAGATCATATTTAATAAGTTAATCTGAAACATCATAATATAAAATTTAAAAAAAAAATCAATTGTTTCTTACTATTTGAAGATTGGGAATGGGCAGAGAATGAAAGGATGGGGTTAGAAAGTGGAGGCATACATGGATTGGGCCTTTACCGTAATGGTGAAAAATTAAAATAATGTTTCAGTACAATAGATTACAATGATTGATTGAACATTGCAGTCCAGAAACAAAAAAAAATCTTCTTATATTTGAGGGGCCCCACGATCAATTTGTTGATCATTCTGGCTCCTGGTTTTAATTCAGAGTTTGCCTTCTCTTATATGGGTTGCCGTCCAAGGCTAACGAGTCCCATCCATCCGCGGTGCTTGGGATGTTGGCTTTGATGGGGATTGAACTCCGGACCACCGGCTATTTGGTTTGAGACAGTTTAGACCGCTCTGCCACCCAGCACCAAAACATTATCACAGAATCAGTATGAGTAAAGTTAAGTAATAAAAAAGTTTTGATGAAGAAACTCTTAAATTTGATTTAGACCCATAAGTTTGCAAATCAGTGAATGCTTAGCTTAACATTAACGGTGATTAATTACTACTTTACCGTATTACTCATTGATAGCAGTGAGATAGGAATGCTCAATTTATAGTAGAGGGCCAATGTGCATTTTGGGAACTTGTTTATATCATAGTAGTAATGGTATAAATAATAATAGCGTACATTTGGACATTCAACAATGAGAACGCTTCTGTCTTTAGTACATGGAAACATGTTTTCCACAAAATTGATAAGCAAGACATAAATCATGGATTAAATGCTTGCTAGAGTCAAGTGTACAGACACTCAAAATTCACCAATCATAATAATAATAATAATGTTAATGTACTCAATTGCCTTAACTATAACACACAGTGAGTGACCATGAGAAAACTGATTACTGATGCCGAATAAAACAACTTGAAAATAAGACAAGCATGGGACGATTGGTCTGGCATGGAACCCTGAAGGATGAAGAGGACAAGGAAGAGCCAAAAACACATGTTCATGCATGCCATGACATTATTATCACTGGATTATTGATTATGATCTTAAGTTTAAGCTTATTAACTTATTTATTATTCCTATGACATGACTATGAGTAGACTAAGTAGAATGAAGTGTGAGAGGTTGTCTCATTTTAAATAATTTTAAAGTCAGATTACAATCACTGATTTAAATTTAAAAATGATTAGTTTGCCATTTCTTGACAAGCCTTTTGGTCTCTTGCTATCTTCTCTCTTTCCAATCATTATTATTAAATTTCCATGCTTGTTCACCTCTCAGTCTTTGTCAATGATAACCTCTAAAACTTCATTCTACTTAGTCTACTCATAGTCATGTCACAGGAATAATAAGTAAGTTAATTTAATAAGCTTAAACTTAAGATCATAATAATCAATAATCCAGTGATTAGTGATAATAATAGATTTTAACTATACCTATGCCGCTATGCCTATACTATGACTATGACCTATGCCTATTGCCAATTGCCCTACCCTACCTATACTATACTATATATAATTAATACGCCTGTGTTGAAACAACAGTCAATCTTGAAGATTTATGAAAATTATCTTCTAGTGAACCTAAAAGTGAATACCAAAGACTTTACTAATAAACTTTACTTATTTAAATTATTAATAAATAATAAAATACCGGTACGTAACTTATTTTACTACTTTTAACTTTTATAGTTTTACTGACTTTACCTTCGAAATCTCCTGTGTCTGCTACGACGATAGTTATATCTTTAAGCTGATCAAGAGATGATCGAGTCTGTTTCTTTGGTTCCGACATCGTTAACTTAAATTAATGATAAAATGCCTAGTGGAATACAACTAAAATATCTGAGATGGAAGGTGGCCCAAGTCAGATTTGCCAAGTGGAGGAAGAAAATGACACAGCAGTAAAACTAACACTTAAGAGAGGGCATACTTGCTTTAAGAGTATCTTAGTTATGTAATAATTTAATCATACGAGCTCTGTTTTTTTACATGCCAATAATTTTGGTACATTATCATAAGTAAACAAATCTATAAATTAATTTTGTTTAAAATATAATAATGTAACTATTATTCAATCGAACATATTATCTCATATAATATGATATAATACAATATTTTCTTCTTATTTCCCCATGCATAGTTACCCATTTAAGGTATCGATACCGTCCTTCACTGTAGATACCTATACCGGCTTTGAAAGTACTATTGTTTCCAGATAGACAAGTCTAGGTCAAGTTATACGAAGTTATAGATAAGCTTAATTATAGTTGACAAGCAATTTTATTATAACCACACAAGCAAGTGACTTGATTATTATGAAGTCCATTACACTAAAAGAAGTAAGTAGAGTTATATCCACTATACAAGAAGATATGCATATTTAACCTCTAAAATTTAGTTACAGACTCTGTAACTGTAACAGAGTGAATAGTCACCGAGATTCATGAGGGTACAATTTTAAAAAAAAATCACAAACTCACAAACAAAGTCAAAGATTTCAAACTTTCATTCAAAGATGAAAATTAGTTGACCCTGGCCTGGCCTTATTTGTATATTCATGTTAATAAACAATAAATTGGCACATCGAAATAATTATAATCTGAAATAATCACATAGTTGAAATAGTATAGTATAATAATAATATAATATAATATAACCACTGTGGGATTAAGATCTATAGAGGCCTCCGTAACAAGGGTCTCAAGCCCCAAGACAGACAAAATTTTGCCTCCCCTCTTGAGCCTCAATAGAATTATAAATTCTCACCAATCTCTGTGGGCACTTTGGCCTTTGGATGCAATATCAGTAAATGTGCAGTTATCCGTTAACCGCATGGGTTTTTCCAAGAGTTGTCTCATCCTAAGCGCAGTGATGTCACTTTGGGAAATCCCAACATTGGACTTGGGGTGACTGGACCAAAGATTGGATCTGAACGATGTGAAGGATAAATTTCCGTTTTTCACTGAGCATTATTCACGTTAAAAACACAATCTGACGATCCATCCTATTATGAAATTTTCCCTTTGGTTTTTATTAAAATTCAACACGCAGATGTAGTGTTGACACAACTCTGATTTCACATTACAAGTGACCACAAGACAGCCAGTTATTTTTCTCAGTAATGTGTGTGTAAACAAAAAAATATCGCTCGACACACAAGATGGAAAAGCTACTGGAGAGAAAATCTTTAAGAAAATGGATTCTTGCTTTGCGATGACTACCACTATATACAGTTACCACACTGAAAATTTACGTAAATAAACAACTGAAGCTTGTAAAGAAATGTCTTGTCTTTACGCAGGCATATTTTCAGATAGAAATATCAAAAAACAAGTTAGCATAAGTGCAGATCTCATAATATGGTTATTTAATACAGGTCAGAAGCTGGTACTTGCCTGTTCTAAAGATAGTTATCAACTTCTACAATGATCGTATAAAAAAGGACAAATTGACCTTGCTGTGTGGAATACTCTCTAAGCACAGCCAATTAGGGCAGTTGCAAAATTATGATAAAAGGTTTGATTCAGTTTTGCACACAGCTTTATGTTGACTTCCGTTAATTACTTTTTTCTTCATTGTTTTCTGTAACAGTCCAATGTAAAAAATGTCATTGCTTTACTTTAAACTTTATATTACTTTATATCTATAGCCTATAATCAACTAGCTGCATTTCCCAATCTTTCAAGTTTGGCGGGCTTGTGCACAAGTTGTGAAATTCCACTAGAGACCTGTTCCAGATTTATAAATTGTATTTTCTTTTATTTAACCATAAATATTTATATTGTGAGAATAGGCAGGGTAAGGCTCACGGACCGATACTAGTCTGCAGACCGCTATTTGGGGAATGTTGGACCATTGCATATTTTTTCTTAACTACTTTAACAGGCTGTTCTTCAGCTGAAAAAAGGACTTACCACTGCACAAGAGATTTGCATTGCGTGTCAACAAAGGCTTCATAAAACAAACAAATTAAACATGTTTGTAACTGAAACAACCAGTGGAGAATTACAAAAGCAAATTCAATCTTCTAACAAAGCATACATTGAAGGTAAAATATCATAATAATAAAAAATATTTCATTTAGGTCTCATCTCTATTCATTACTTAAATTATAGAGTCCATGAATAGTTAAAATTAAAATATTGAACGCTTAAAACTGAATAATATTCATTAATTTTAAAGGTGCAGCAAAACCTTTAGAAGGTATACCTATAGCATTCAAAGATAATTTCTGCACAAAAGGAGTTCGCACCACATGTGGATCTAAGATGCTTCAGAATTATATACCACCTTATGATGCTACCATGGTTACCAAATGTAAACAGGCTGGAGGTATCGTGATGGGAAAAACAAACATGGATGAATTTGCTATGGGGTGAGCACTATTTTTTATCTTGGTGTATTTAGTATTTATAATAGTCTCTGACAATATTTTATAAAGACCTTTATCATCAGCTTAACTTAAATAATTTGAAATTATTTAGTCTTATCTGGAAACACAAAACTATTTTACTATTTTTTTATTATTACAAATATTATGAGCTGCTTCTGGTTAATATACAAGTACTATTAAGAATTGAAATGAGGGCTGTTTAACTTTGGAATGCAGTTTCATACTTTCATAAATAATTTTGTATTTCTTCTTTAGAAATTGTATATTTGCTAATCTTTTATGACTGCTAAAAGGTTATTATCTGACACAAATAGGACTCACAAGCCACCTGCATACTCTTTGCGAAGGACGAACAAAAAAACAAACAATTGTCTCAGAAAAAACTATGTCAAAAAATGAAATACTTGATTTAATAAGATTTATGTTTACACATGGAACGTTTAAAGATTTAATCTGCTACTGAATGGAAAAAGAATTTTATGAATTCTCTTTTGCTGTCCTTATTATTATTTTTTTAAAATGTATATATAATGATGATAAAACTAAGTGTTACCATACTAGTCTCTTTATTTCAGATCAGGAAGTTTAGACAGTTGTCATGGCCCTGTTATAAATCCATGGAACCTGGTAGTTTCCCCACACATTCATTCTGAACTTTCTCAAAACTCTCCTGCTGAAAGTGATGACACTGCAAGTTTGAATGAGCCTGATTGGTATATATCTGGAGGAAGCTCAGGAGGAAGTGCTGCTGCAGTTGCGGCTGGTGCTTGCTTAGCGTATGTAAATTGACATGTTTTTGTTTGGGAAATAGGGAAGGGAAGATAATGGTGTCAATATTACTAGATTTTAACATTTCTATGAAAACAAAGAGCTTTCAAATTTTTTGCCAAAAGTTAGATGAATGAACAAATGAAGCAAGTTTTCAGTTATATAAAATTGCTTAACACAGTTAAAATTAAATTTCTGTTCATGTTCATTTGATATCTTAAAATTTAAAAGAAAAAGATGATTGCCTACAAAAATATGATAATTATCTCTACAGTGCCTTTGGCTCAGACACTGGGGGCTCCACAAGAAATCCTGCAAGCTACTGTGGAGTCGTTGGTTTTAAGCCTACTTATGGCTTGTTGTCTCGGCATGGACTTATTCCTCTTGTTAATTCAATGGATGTTCCTGGCATTTTAACTAAAACAGTTGAAGACAGCGCTTTAGTTTTAAGTATGTAATAAATTAGTATCTGTCTGATAAAATCTATGTTCAGATCTATGTTAAAATAATCAACTAATTTCTTACCAGTATTAATTTTTTAATTTCAAAGATTAACTAGATTTTTACATTTGAGAGAGTAAAAAGGCAACCCCCCCCCCAATTGATTAAATGTAAATAAATAAGCTCTGATATTTATAAATATATTCTGTACTGTAGGACAAAATTAAAAATATTGATGCATAATTAATTACGATACTTGGCAGAATAAATGTGTTCTCGATGAAGAATTGGCCAATGGAAAGAAAATAGTACTGGTACAGTACTTGAAAGAATTGAATGAAAAAAAAAATATAATAGGAATGAAAATTGATTGGAAGTATTATATGGCTTGAAGGGTATATTCTTTTTACTTAAGTTGAGCACTTGCCAACCATAAAACTTATCAATTTCATACCTTATGTGATAAACAAATATGGCTTCCACCCTATCAAAATTACTTACAATTTGTACGAAATATGTTTTGGTAATTGATAATTAATATCCTTATCAGATTCTGTCGCTGGTCATGACATACTTGACTCAACTACATTTACTGAAGCGTACACTCCTTTTATCATCAAGGAAGATTTAGATTTATCAAAAGTTCATATTGGAATTCCCAAGGTGACTTTATTTTTATGTATTGTCTTAGATGAAGGAAAGAGTTTTCCATTTAGAAAACAGATATAAAGAAAACACATAATCCCTCTTGGTGGCATTCTGTTACTCTATTATAAATTTTGTGTATTCAAGCCAGTTTTGAATTTGGATAGGCTAAAACTCATTTTTTCCAAATTAGGTAATGTTTAAAATGAGACAATTTTTCTTCAAAATTATGATTAAATAGATTATTGGTCTTCTTTTTTTCAAAATTAGATGCTTACTCTGTAACATAAAAACTTTTAATTTCTAATATTTCTTCTAATACTGCCAATCTAACGGAACAATGGTGACTGCAATATTTTCTCTACTACCAATAAATTTGTGTACTTCAGGAATTTCATGCCCCATCTTTATCTGAAGAAGTTCTAATGTTGTGGAGAAAGACAGCTGATATGTTTGAAAAAGCAGGTGCCAAAGTCTCCCAAGTTTCAATGCCCCATGCACAGCTCTGCATTATTTGTTATCACGTCTTGTGTTGCTGCGAGGTGGCTTCAAACTTTTCCAGATATGATGGAATTGAATTTGGTAATTTTGACATTTGTACAATTTTAAAGGCAAAAATAATGCAGAATTTTAGAGTAGTGAGTATATTGATTTATTCAAATGTTTACTCAAAGTTTGTAAATAGAAATAGAATAAAGGTAAAAATGAAATTACTGCTATTTCAAAAGTCTCAGCTTTATGAAAATATAATATTGTTCTATATGATTTTTTTTTTTTTTGGTATTTGAGATTTAGACTTAACATTTATGCATATTTTTATAAATAATCCAACAAGGGTTAAGAGATGGAAGTGAGGAATCTACAGAGGAACTCTATGCAGGAAGCAGACACAAAGGCTTCAATGGTGTTGTGCGTGGAAGAATTCTGGCTGGCAATTTCTTTTTATTAAAAAAGTAAAATTTCTAATGCTAGATTTTACTTCAGCTTGCTCATACTTTAAAAAAAAAATATTTTCACTGTCCTGAGTATTGTAAAGAAAATATTTTAACCTTGTTAAAGTAGTTATTTAACTTCTTAACCTCTTGACCCTTTATATGGGAAATCTTATGTAAGTATTTTAAAGTGTTTTACAACAAAAAAAAACACATCTATCTGTTGTTTATTTTAGGAACTATACAAAGTTTTTTCTGAAGGCACAAAAAGTACGTAGACTAATCAGCAATGACTTCAGACAAGTATTTTCCACTGGAGTCAACTTGTTATTGACACCCACAACACTGACTGATGCGCCACTCCACAGCTGGTTCAGTAAACAAGACAACAGAACTAGATGTGAGGAACAGGATATTTTTACCACACCAGCAAATATGGCAGGTTGGTTTGTCCTTAAAAGTTAATACTACATATTTTCCTGTTAATTATTTGCTGTGCATTCTTTTTTTAAAGTTTATTTTAATCTATCCCAGCCCTGTGGCGCTTCAGCCCATTTAAGACTTTAGTCTTCCTCACCACTTCCTTACACTCTGACGTGATGCTTTTATTTTCCATTCCATGTCTGGATTCTTAGCTGCTGTAAATCTTTTTCCACATCATCTATCTATTTAAGCCTTTGTCTGCCTTTGGGCAGTTTTTCTCTAGGGTTTTGGTTGTGCACCCTCTTCACTCCTCTGTCTGCCTTATTAAGTGTCCAGCCCAGCCTGCCCTTTTTTATTTCTGCTACCAGCGTTGGAATCCTGATATAATCCATACAATTTCTGTTTGGTTTGTTTCTTCGGTGGTCCATTTATTTTAAGTTTTATGTTTTTTTATTTCACAATTTAGAATTAAGTATCGACGGTAGTGTTACCGGTACTTAGAAAATAGAAGCGGTAGTCCTTTCACCTTAAAAAATTATATGAAAAGGTAATTTCAATAAAACATAGTTAACATTCATAACGCTAAAATTAAAAAGTATAACATTACATTATTTCATATTAACTGTGGATACATTTCTGTTTATGCAGTTTATGCCAACTTGTTAATATGGCTAGCCAATGTTCCTCTTGTAACAACATGCTGCTACTGTATTATTTACATGCTGACGTAATGGGCTTTTCCTCCTCTTGGAGGTATTTTGTTCAGCACACTTGGCATCATCTCTTGGCACCTCAGTAGTTTGGGACCTGTGATTTATTTATTAGACTGAATTTGAATTTAACATTGGTAATTTTTCATTTTTTTAAATGTTTATTTTTCTAAATGGAGTTATGCTCATTGGGGTTTACAACAAAAGCAGGCTTAGCAGGCATGAGTTAAATAGTGTATGGTGAAAGTTTTCATATCATGCTCTTGATAATTTGGAAATCTAGGAGTAAATGATTTATCTTTCAGCATACTGGTTGTACTTTTGAGTGTCACAATAATTTAATTAAAAATCATAAAAATATATGATTTTTCAAGGTGTTCCTGCAATGAGTCTACCGCTTGGGCTGTCCAGACAAGGCCTGCCATTAAGTTTACAGCTGATTGGACCACATTTTAGTGAATCATTACTACTTTCTGCAGCCCACTGGTTAGAAAAAGATGCAAAGTTTTCACACTTGGACCTAGATTTTTTAGAGTTTTCAGATAAATCATTCAGAAGAGCCTGAATGTAAAATAAAATGATCTTTACTCCTGTTAATAAAAATGTAATAAAATTGTTTTATGCCCTATAACTATAATATTAATTAGCTTCTATGAAGGAAAGTAATGTTAGCTATCATTATATTATTTATAATAAAGTGATTTAAAATTTGTAAATCTTCATAATTTTTTAAATTTATCTTAGCAGTTGAATTTAAATGAACTAACACAAACCTTAAAAATTTCATTATCAGTGAAATGGTCATATTATTACTTCATATTTATCCAATTAACCTGTCTGTAGTATTCCAGTTTATGTTACTAAACTCTGTGTTCATGGAATGAGTGATGTTTGAACATTTCAGTTATTTATTTATACAAATTGGTTGGTGAACCACTTTAGAATAAATCATTAGGGACAATGGGACAAAGGATTAGCTCGGCCCCCACAGCACACTGTATAGCAGATGTGTCCATTCACTATCTCTACTCAAGTGAATGTTAATCACAAAAAAACTTAACGATGGGCTCTGGTGTGATGAAATTGGCAAAAAACAAACTGTGTCAACATGGCCATTTTCAGCTTACCATTCCCTTCCAGTGGCCAGAGTACCTGTACCAGAATGTGTTTTAAAAAAAAAAAGGGGGGAATAAAACAAAATATTACTCAATAGTTAACTAAGTAAGTGACTTTTTTTTTTTACAAGCATCAATATTTGTCAGTGATTAGTACAGGGTTCAGAACCAAAATCCCGGGCAAGCCAGGTAGTATAGTTAATACTAATAATAAAGCAAATATCTCAATGTATTTATGAATTTGCTGTTGGTAAAGGAACTAGATATCTTCATACATAATTTGGTTAATCATCTGATTTTTTTATCACATTTCCAACCAAGAGACAAATTACAACCGGGGAGTAGTTTTTAAATTACAGGGTACCTTAACCATACTAGCCTTGAACCTAAATGTCCCCAATCCCTGGGCTCCTGAGCATTAAAGAGAAAAAACCAATATGATATAGAAATATTGTTAGTTACATGCAAACAAGTGGTTAGAATAAGATGGAACTTGGAGACATTGTAGATAATAGGTCTACCTTTCGCCTAGCGCCAATATTCCACCTTTGAATACCAATCCACCCAGCAGGATGACCCTTGTTTCACACAGAGGTACTTCATGCAAAGTGAGCGCCAGCAGATGTGGCTCTTCACCTTTTTGCATGGATTGTCTTTGTAAGACACTCCAGGATTTTGCTTGTTGTACCGGGAGTGCTTTTCCATGCACACAACAAAGATATGATTGGACGATGTGTCACTTGAACTGAAAACGTATTCTTGATGAAATTCTAACTCCTCAGATTCTGAATCAACCAAAATATCTATCACCTCTTGGACTGTGATAAGCGTAGACCTACTTCACTTTCCTGATGAAGTGCTTGGTGCATCAGCCACTCGTTTCATTGTGAATGTTCAGAATTTGTTCACTTCAAACCAGACAAAGTCAATTTGAACACATGGGGGCAGACATTTGCAATGAATAATCATGAGGTTAGACCACAATTGGTTGGCTATTTTTAGTTTGTAACACATTTTTTTCACGTAGTAGGCAAAGTACCGAAAATTAGCGGTATAGCAGCAGATTTGTAAATTACTGAAAAATCGGTCTGGTAGGGTTAAACGTTAAGAAAAACAAGAAACTTAACTTTTAATGACCTGTATTTAATTTTTCACTCTTTCAAATTCTATCCAAACAAGAAAAAAATGCCAACGAGATTGTAAATTCCAAATTCTATTAAATTTAATATGAATCAACTATACATAAGATACTTTAGATCATTTCTGCAATACAAGCACTTGAGCTTGTTACTATAGACATAAGTTAAATTTGCACGAGCATTACTGTCACTCATCATCTGGTGGGATTCCAAGCTCCTCATTTGTCAGTTTCTTTACATCTGGGAAGTGACTATCATGCTATGGAAAAAAAAAAAGTAAGTTTGGGGGGGGGGGGGTTTATTTATTTAACTTTCAAAAACTTCACTTTGTAATCTTAAAAAATAATTCAGTAAGTATGCAAAATCTCAAAATGAGATGGTGCCCTATCAAAAAGATGATTCTAATAAATATATGTAAAGTCTGCCTGTGGAATCATTGAAACATAATATATAGTGGTACTTCAGAACAATGTAGTGCAGTAGTGTTGGAAACAATACTTAAAGGGCAAAATAGAAACAAAAAATGTCCCACAAGAAACTTATTAAAAGGAGTGGGTTCTAAATCTTTTTTATGTGCTTCTACTTTGGGAAAAGTGGGGCATTTTGTTTTTTCTCTATTTATTATTTTAATTGATTAAACATATATTTTTGATACAAGTCATCTTAAAATTCTCATTTATGCAGGAGGAATGGTAAGTATAACAGCACCTCCCTTTGGGGACCATCAAGCAAGCAATATGTGAAGGCAAAGCTTTAGGAGGCCATATATAATTCCATTAATGTTTCTACGTTTAAAAATGTTAAAGATAAATTCCACTTTGGTCACCAACCATATAAATAGTGGTGGCCGGCCGGTTTATGACCGCAGGCTGTAGTTTTCAAACCCCTGTTCTAAATCAATAATAACCCTTTTAGGAATGTAAAATATTCAGAAGATACAAATACTATATAGATAGTGCGACAGCGGTTGGAATTTTTTTCTGATGTTTGCACGCCAATGCTTCATCCCTTGTATATTGTGTACGATAATAAAAAAAGAGACAAAAGCAGTTTGTAAAATAGATGCTCTAATGTACATTTTATATTTTAAAACTACTGTAATGCAGAGGCACATAATTGTAAGGATATATCAACTGATACTGGGATTGAAAAACTGCTATAATTAATAAAAACCTAAATTATACTATAAATTATAGAAATTTTAACAGTTAACCCTCGAACCGTGGTCAGCCGACGAAATCGGCCGATATTCTCATTCTGTGCTGTGGCAGCCGAAAAAATCGGCCGATAAAAAACACGGTCCGATAGCAACTTCCAATCCAATATTTAACTGAAATCATAGCCATTTCCTTGCATTAATAATTAAATCAATTTCCAGGTCAAGATGTTTCTTGATAACTTAACAATAAGTACTTTTTAATCGGAATTTTTTATTGCTGTTTTTTAAAAGCAAAAATGGCGGAAGCTATGGCCGGGCCTTCAATGCGAAAACTAATATAAATATTTTTGAAAGCTTTTTAGGAGAGGATTTAAGTGATACTGATGATGATTTTAACATTCCCCATGACATCTCACTTCAGATTCTTCTCTAGTCTTAGTGATACTGAAGTAGGCCTATTGAAATTGAGGCTACTGTTTGACTTCGTGCTAGGCCCAGAGGTTGGGCAAGGACTGACTGAATTTTAGTCAAAGAAGCTACAGATTATAGATCAGAACTAATAAATTTTATAGTTTAACAACCCAAATCGGTTCTACAGTTCCTTTTTAAATGTTTACTATTCAATAATAACTATTTTGCCTGAGGTTTTGTATTTTGTAATTGGTTTTAGCAGTGGTCCCAGTTTCTTATAAAAATGACCTAAAATTCTAAAATTGCTTTCAGAGGCTTAATTGTAATCAAAACCTTAGCAAACTATACATTTTCTGAAAGATGAATGAATTGGTTACGGTACCACATTTGTATTGGCATTTTAATGGAATCTATAAAAATTAATGATGTTATGAGCACTTCAAAACAAGACATTTTGTTGATTTTTTTTTCTTTCTTGAAGTTGAACACTCCAAGGTCAAAGACACTGAACAAATTTTTGTTTACGGGTGGGCAAAATATCCAACTTTATCCCCATCCATTTACCTTTCTAAAAATATATAATTATTGGGGTCTTGCATCAATATTTCTGTCTATGAACAGTCATGAATTTTAGGCACAATATGAAACTAGTTTTTATTGAAATTCAAATCAGATAAATGTTATTTGAGTCATCCATGTTCAGAATTGCAGTTATAAGTCTTCTTAGGCATAACTAAAAGCAGCCTACTGTCCTTGCATACCGGTATATTAGAAAGATCTAGGAACTTCAATATTAAAAACAAAGTACCGGTATCACACATTTTGATTTATACTGCACATTTCATAACAAATGATCCCCAGCTGATACACCTAAGTTATACTTATACTATATACACATGAGGTTGATTTGGATAAAACTGGTGTCTCTTCTATAACAGAGATACAACACAGAATTTGTGAATTATCTACCCTTTGCCACACATATAATACATGAGTTAATTGCTTCATCTGTTAAAAGTACACATTGGTAAAAAAAAGAAGTTTATCTTTGACTATAACTTATAACTAAATTTTCCATGGCAATTTTAAACTATATTGTCTGGATTGTCTGTCATGCACAATAAAGGGAATTTTCAACCATAAATATTTGTTCATAAATGTTAAAATATAATGATATACCAGATACTTACAAACAAGTGGTCAAAGTCGTACCAACAGTGATAAAGAATCCAGTACCACAGGAAAAAGCTTAAAAGTTCTCCACTGTAATGAGTAAACTTGGTACCTTTACTTACAACATGGCCTCGGTAGGTGATACTAAAATATAAAATAAATAATATAATAACAGAGAATTAAATTGATTATTATAAAGCAAAGAAAACGGAGTAACTCGCTACACATTCTGTATTCTTACTGGCCATGAAATGAACACTAATAAATGTATGCCATACATACATGCTACATTCCTTGTTTTATGCTACCAAAAGAAGTTTCAATTATACCGGTCTGTTACTCAATATCTTTTATGTGGTTTATACTTAATCCAGTGGGCAGTGGGCGTATTGCAAATCTGGAGAACAGCAACCAAACTGATGTGCTGGTGATGGACTTAACAAAGGGTTTTGATTGTGTTAATCAAAGTTTTCTATGACAAAGTATTACACAAACTTCTGAGATATGGGATCCAAGGCACTACCAAAACATGGCTCTCTAGCTTCCTAGTGACCGATGCCAGGAAGTAGTGGCAGACGGCACAACCTACTCCTAAACAATTATTATTTATAATAATTATTTATTAATTGCACATTTCTCAATGTTATTATCGATGTGCAAAGTTTGATTGCGATATTGTAAAACCTCTTATCTTCAATAACTTTTGCGTACTTGGGGCGTAACAATAAAAATTGGTACAAAATTATAATTTTTTTGCAATTAAAGTAAAAAAAAAATTTCAAATTAAACTTAGCCAATGTTTTTTTTTTAAAATCTTTCTATTAGTGTATAGATAGTATGTAGTAAAAAATGTTTGTTTAAATTAAGAAACATGACAATTTGTTTTTGACCCATGGACCACCGTAGCCGTAATAGTAATAATATTCTATCGACGGAATATATAACGTCAACGGCCCCGCAAAATTTAATTTTCCCAAGGCCCCGCACCATAGCGCCGGCCCTAGTAAAAAGAGTAATAATGCGATCACAGTTTTAAAAATTAAATACAAAGTTACAAAGTAAAGCCAGATAGTAGTTGGGGGAAAAAAAAAGTTAGGCTAATTTAGTATTAATTTATATTATTATTATTGATATCATATTGTAACGAATGTATGGACTGGGACGAAAATAGACAGAAAACTCACTCTCCAGAATTCCTAATACTGTTTTGCTGCAGCGCTACTATTTTATTTTGTCTCACAAGAGTTGTAACAATGGGCCGGAGTCTCCCAAATATAAGCGACATCTTTTTACCCCCAATATTTTTATTCAGTTACAAAAAAATTATGAAGGTCGTAAGGCTGACCGATTCTGATTTTTCTTCCAAGAGAATGCCATTTTCTATCCACATAAAAGCCGTATACATTTTTATGCCTTTGCACTATCTAACTTGGTGGTTGAGTCGTGAAACTATGATTCATGATACTCTGACTGACCTCTACACTTCAATAAAAATACATTTTAATACGACCAATGATCAAAATGATTTTTAAAAAAAATTATATGGTCTGTATGTTTGTAAGAACCTTTGCAACCAGCTTAAAAATTAGTGTCTGAATCAACTCAATATTTCTAAGAATAGCAAATGTTTGTTATTCAGACTATTCATTATTTTTCCTCCATTTGCATCAAAATGAAGAAGGGTTAAACCAGGATCCTCATATTTTTTAAATCAGACAATGTTTGGGATCAGGCCATAGTTTGAAAAAATAGGAACAAATTCCTATGGTCAGTGCACGTATCTTCTTTGTAAGGCACGTAATTTTAGTCGTAATAAGAAAAAGTGGGGGAGGGATATATAAAATTTAAAAAGAATGTCTTTTGGAGTCTTGACAGCTTATTTTTGTCCCTGTCACGTGTAAACACTGACGCAGGTAGGGCTTAAATCGGGGGAGGAAAGGGTTATGATATTACGATAAGAAAAGCTTGGATGCCAAGATAAGCCGCTGGCTCCGTATTCAAAACGTGTATCGAGGATTTTCTCTAATTGACAATGAAAGAGAGAACCTGCATACAATTTTGAGTCAATGTTTGTTTGTTTTTTTTTTTTTTTTTTTTTTTTTTTTTTGGGTTTATTTTTTTTTTTTTTTTTTTTTTTTTTTTTTTTTTGTGATTGGGGGTGGAGGTGGGGTGGGGTGCTATACAGAAAAAGAACGACTTCATTGGCTGCTATTTTAGTCTTGTTAATATCATAGATTGCACGTTAAATAGTGGAAACATGTTCCACCGTCAGATGTTGTGTCCTTTCCTCATCATTGTAAAGTACCACTGATTTCAGAGGACCCATGTTTAATTTGTTATATCACACAAGGTAGCGACATTGAGGACAAGGATAATGATTGCACCCCCCCCCCCAAAAAAAACAAGACATAAAGGCAAATGTGGCACGTGCCTTGGAAAAACGCTTCAAAAGGAGCCAGGGCCAAGCGACATAGGGGGTGGTCTGAATGGGCCTTTGCCCCAGGTGATAAACCTTGAGAGGGGGAGGGGGCGCAAAAATCGTAAATTAGTATAAATTATAGTAAATAGGCTTAGATCCCCTACCGTAGAGAAAGTGTGTTTGTGTGGAAGGGAAATTGGTGGCCCATTCCGTGAGCCAGCTCATTTTTTAACAAAAGGTTACAGAAAGGGGAGGGGGGGGAGCAATTTCAAGAAATTGATGAGCGGAGGACGTCATTTTATGATTGCAATTTAAATTCGGGTATGCGTAAATGTGCATCCCCTTCTTTTGAATTGATCCACAATATTCTGGATAGGGGCTCAAGCCCCAAACCACTCCCCTCACTTTCGCTCAGTTTTCAGGCTTTCTCACGGCTCCAAATTTTCTCGGCACGGCCATGGTATTTAAGAAAAGTTTTATTAAAAAAATGCATGTCCTTACGTTTTAATTTCGAGAGGTGCCGACTGCCTAAGGTTGGGGGTTGGGGGTGGAAGTCTTTATCCAACACTGCTTCACAGAATGAAAGTTTCGACCAGATAATTTAAGTGGTATGGGGGTGGGGGAGCAAGTGGGTCCCGGGAAGAGTGGGGGAGGGGGGGGAAAGGTTCGTCTGCCAAGGTTTCTCCGCAGGTCATAATCCTGTACTGTGCGGCGTCGATAGAGCCGGTCACGTTTCTATCACTATAGGAATGCATCCCTGTCCGAATTTGTATCATTGAGACTTTTTAATGCGTTTATAGAGATTCCGCTTAATCGCACAAGAAAGACATCTATCAGAGATAAATAATGACGTAGCAATAGCATGCTGAATAAACTCCGCGAATCGATGTTTACATTATTAGCGTATAACAGACTGACCCATCTAAACGGTACTCGTTATGATGGCGCTAACGTGAGCACAGTATGCGCCAAGGTAACAGTTCTGAAAACCCCGCATCTTGAACACGCACGTGAGTGTGTCAACGGCGCATGACGCCAGCCGACACGTGTTCCCTGAGGGTAGGAAGTTGTGTTGGGAGGTTGTTGTCTACGATGTGTCTTTCTACGGAGGGAAAACAAATTCATTGTTGAGCACGATTTTCTTTCACAGGGAGCTGATCGGGAAGGGAGACTGAGTTTGAGTATTTATATATTATTTTAAAAAATCACGTATCTAAGGTTAAATATCACCATGTAGACATCAATAAAGTAGGATTTTTATGCTGAATTTAACCTAATATTTTCTTGAAATAGTCGTAAAAAAAAAATTGGTGATATTTCCGCATTGATTTTTCAGTGTTTTAGTAGGTTTGATGCGTATTATTGTTTATTTTGTTTCGTATAATTGCTTTAAAAAAACAACAACAACACAAAAAACACAGGTATAAACGGATTAAAAAAATGTAAACAGGATGACAGACATTTTAAAGGGCCAAGGGAGAAAACTTCTAGAAGGCAGCTTGAGGGATAAAGTAAAAATGTTGGTTGTGTTTCCTGCGTATGCATGTAAAGCAGGGGTGGCCAACCCTTTTAGCAGACGGGGCCAAAATTTCAGAAATAATATTTCCTGCTAGGCCACGCACACATTTTTTTTCATTGTGTTCATTAAAATAAACAAGCAAGCGTGCTACAGTTTCAACAATTCGACCTCATCGTCGCGTCCAAGTAGGTGAGCTGTGATTATTTCAGAAATCCCCCCCACCCCCCACCCCCAATTGGCGGGGTGGGGGGTTGGGGACACTTCATATTTTTCGGGGGGGGGGTGGTGTGTGCAGTGACAGCAGTGCCAGTTGATTTATTGTTGGATATATTTTTGCTCGGGGGGGGGCCCTTGGCTTTCCCCAGGGGGGGCATGGCAGTGCCCCCCCCCCCCCCCCCCCCCCCAGTTTTTTTGTGGGGGGGGGGGGGCCCTGGTCTTGCCCCGGGGGGGGGGGGGGGGGGCCCCCCCCCCCCCCCCCCGAGATATAGCTGAAAGAAACCATGTAGGTCAGATCGTGGTCAAACGCTTGCCTGGTTTAATATAAAAAATACAAGAAATAGGGGTATTTAGTTTTGAAGAAAATAAAACTTAACTGAGCACCAAACATATTTAGGTGACAGTTTTTAAAAATATTTCAGAGTGAAACCTCTGACTTTGTCTTGCAGAACTTAATACATTAAAATTGATCAGTCATTCGTCTTGTCACTTGTGATTTGATGTGCTTCATACGACTAAAGAAAAAAAATCTGTTCCCACGCATCAGTGTTTCCAAACAGCGAAACCATCGACAGAGAATGTTTGTAAAATGCAGGATATTTTCCTTCTTGTCCAAATACGTTTTATAATAGAACTCTTTGAAACCAACTTGATGGAATTTCTCGTGTTCAATGTTCCATTTGCAATCTTCTTGGTAATTAATTCACGTCTACTGCAAATGGTGTTGCAAATGCGTAAAAAGTACATGATGTTTTGAAGATCATTATTTTGACGACCACTTTCATGACATGGTACATTTTGAGGGACTTCGAACATAACTTCTACAGATGAACAATGCAATGAAAATTTAGCATTGCAATATTACTGACTTTGGAGGCCTCATTTTCCATACATTTTACTAATCTTTCGTGTTTCCCAACCACTGCTGGAGCACCAGCCGTTGGTTAGCCCGATAAGTTGTTAAGCTGTAAAGAAAAGCGATTCCATGTCGATGTAACTGTCGCTTTATAAATCTCGTGACTTAGTAGTATCCTTAAGTGGATACAGTGCCGCTAATTCTTCTGTCTTTTTCAAATGGACATCAACACCCCTGATAAAAATTGTCAGTTAAGCAGTATCTGCCATATCTGTGCTTTCATCCAATGCTCGAGCATACAATATTAAACGCGGATGATCGACTTTTCAAATTATCTTCATTATGTTTCCCAATTTCGTTCACATGTTTGAATTTTCGGTAAAATGCGGAATAATTGAAATAGCTCAACACAAATTAAATTTTTAAAAAATCGAGATATTTTAAATTTCTCTTAGTTATAATTTAAAAACATGTGATACGAACGCCTCATAATGTCATGTTCTTTAGGTGATATGTACAATAAAGTTAATATTTATGTTCAATTGACCTAGCTCCGCGGGCCGCAACTTGACTCCCGGCGGGCCGCATGCAGCCCGCGGGCGTTATATTGGCCACCCGTGATGTAAAACAATGGACTCTGCTACTTGTGTGTGTAGCGAAAGATGGGATGAGAGAATTCCAAGCTAATCCAGATACAAATTTTGGGACTATTTTCAACTTTTGTTTTCAAGTCATCAGGATGAAAAATGTGTACATCCATTTGTTGTTGTTGTTGTTCATTATATAAGTTTTATGTTTCAAACTGATTTGACCAAAAAAAAAATATTTGGTACCGGTATTGGAGATAAATAGGGTAATTGAATTGATGTGATTGAATAAAACATGGGTTGTTAATGACGCCACTCAATAAATGATTGGTCTATTAATAAAAGATCGGATACAAAAAAAAAAAAAAAAAAAAAACAAAATTTAAAAATATTTGGTACCGGTATTGGAGATAAATAGGGTAATTGAATTGATGTGATTAAATAAAACATGGGTTGTTAATGACGCCACTCAATAAATGATTGGTCTATTAATAAAAGATCGGATACAAAAAAAAAAAAAAACAAACTCCAAATTTTCAAATTCCATTTCATCACTTTATTTGGGACCAAAAGACAAAGATTTTGATTTTAAGACTTGGATTTTGAAAAAGTCACAAAAAATTAACATAAATTATGTTTTTTTCGAACAATACATTTAAAATTTAAACAAATTAGTCCTTTAAGTTTACTATACTACATAAGTGTTCAATAATATTTAGAACAACTCGAAAGGTTTGATTTTAAAATATTATTATACTCTCCAAACGAAATGTTATG